TTATTTGCGTCTAAACCAAGTCTTAGGTCATGTGATCAACTAAATATTGTATGTAATGGTACTACAATAACATCCACCAAATCTGTTAAATACTTAGGTGCTGACCTAGATCAATGTCTATCTGGTGAGTCTATTGCCTATCAGGTAATTAAGAAGGCCAATGCAAAATTTAAGTTTTTATATAGAAAAAGTTCATTTTTAAATAGGTATACTAAACATTTTGATTATGCGTGTGCCTCCTGGTATTTAGGGTTGAGTCAAAATCTAAAACATAGACTTCAGGCAACACAGAATAAGTTGGTGAGGTTTATACTTAATCTCGTCCCCGAACTCATATATGGGGGGGGGGGCTCATTTTGAGGAAGTTGGTTGGTTACCAGTACATCTGAGGGTAAATTTCCTTATTCTTGGTCATGTACATAAGATACATAACAATAGTGCACCTAGTTATTTAAATGAGCATTTTCAAATTGCAAATGAGGTACACTCTTACTCCACTCGATTTAGAGATAGTAACAGTTATTCTCTTCCAAGAGTTAAGGGTTTCGGAAAGAAAACATTTGTATTTAATGGTTGTCAGGAATGGAACACGTTACCAACACATCTTAGGTTCATAACAAGTCGTGATAATTTTAAAAAATCTCTTAAGGAACATTTTATGCAATCAATATCTATTTAGTCATTTTAATCCAGTCATCTTACTTAGTTTTTATTTATATATTTTTTATGTTTAGTGCATATTTTAGTAGTACCTATTCATTGTCAAACATATTTGTCATAATTATGATTATAATACATGTGTGATAAATTTTGTGATGGAAAAACTTATGTGCAATTATTGATATTAGAAATTGTGATTGAATAATTTATGTGCAATACTTCATATTTGTAATTATGTTGCCTTTCTGGTGTAATATGATCAATTCTAAGGACCACAATGGAAATAAGTCAACTTATGCCTTCTTTTTGTGTCATCCTTGGTATTGAATATTTGGCATCAGCACAAAACAATGGCATGCACTTTCATGCATATCTCATGATGTTGACATTGAATTTGTAGTTGTTTTATGACATGTATTTTTTACCGGAATAAAATTATATAATAATAATAATAATGATATAACCGATTTCTCATAATTGCATTATGAGACACATTTCCAAAATTAAACGGGGCAATAAAAGTACGCGATATCATTTTCAAATTTCAATTCGGTATGTTTTTACTGATAAAATTCTAATTATTATGTATCAAAATGGTTACAACAACACTGGAAAACTCTTATATCAACAGAAATTTAATTTTGAAAATTTCTGGTACAGAGAAATGATATTTAGCTTACAAATGCATTTGTTATATATAACCAACGGATTGTGAATTATCTACCGCAATTTACAAAACACTACCTGAAATTGAATCCCAGTTTTCTTTACAAAGTGTATGGGTGAAATGTTTATATCAACATTATTACTTTAAACAGTATCATTTAAGCAGAGGTGGAAGTATGTAAAAACGCAGGCATGAGAGATACAAAAACGGGATAACTTTAATCTATTGTTAGTACAAAACTTCAAATTTGTATTTGTTTTCGTATTTTGATAGACAACAACATTTAAATTAATATTTTTTGTTGGGAATTCCGGAAACTTGTCTTTATCTAACACCAGAAAAGCAATAATCAGTCGTACATAATAACTGAGGTCAATTAGTCCAACAAAAATACAACTTTGTGTTAACATTAATTCTATTCACAACAATTAAGAATATCTAATACATGAAACATATTCAACTTAATTTTCATTCTTTGACACCGATGCTTGTACGCATCAAAATTATGAATTATAAAGACACATACTAATTCATTCATTTTGATGAATATGTAAACAAAATATATAATGTCGTTAAAAATCGTTTGCGAATATTTTCAACAAATGACAAAGAAAAGCGTTCCAAGATAATTAATTGTAAGAAATACAGATCTATAGGTATAATTGTATTATATTAAAGATTAAAAACAACAAATCAATAAGAAAATGAGAAAATTAAATAAACAATTGAAGGCTTCAAAAAGTAAAAATAATAACTTAATAAGTCATTTGTTAAAAATCTTTACAATACTGACCCAGTTTTGATTTTGAAATATTTCTTCCTATTTGTTTAAGGGGAACGTCCGTTTTATTTTGAAATCAATACACAGTTTGAAAATGTAAATTTTAACCGTATAATAAACCATATACTTTTCATTGCGTCGAGGTATAAAACTGCAATGTTTATCAAATATTTGATAAATAATCACTCAGGACTAACTGTTTTGATATTTTGAAAATTTTAACATAACGTACGGTATTTTTTGTTTGTGTTTTTTAACCTGTACACTTTACTTTCTCTACAGATGATAATATGATACTGAAACAAGGCAGTTTATTCGGCACCTAAATAACAACTTGGTTTGTAAACGACATCTATCAACATACTTAGTCACAGCAGTAACTTATCAAGATATTTAAAGAAATATAAATCCATTTTTAAAAATACCACTCGAAAATAAAGCATAATAAAAGCTGAATAGCGCCAAAATACGACCTATATATGTTGAAATCAGCGTAAAAGTAAAAAATGCAATCAAACAAACAGCGTAAATAGTCTTACAAATTTATCTGGATGAGTAATGTATGCTGACTTTTTGTTATGTTTATTTTCAATTGAAACTAAATATAATTCATATCGATAGATATTGTAAAAAACAACAACAAAATATTGCAAATACTCATATAATATCAACTTTCTGTTAAAGTTCACAAGAACTAAATAAACAAAATGATTTGTTTTTACCACACCCGACATGAATATATACGTATTATCTTATAAGTTCATACACGCATGAAAAGAGTTAAGTAAAGACGATATCAGTCGTTTCCGCTAGAAGATGAAAAAACAAAACAACACTGAATGTTGGCAAACAAGAATAAAGGGATGACTATTACCAAATCAATTTTATCTGTTTAACGATTTTTAACATTGAATATACATTATTTGCCGTTTTCTTGAAAACAAAAATCGTCGACATATTACGATTCAGATGAAATACCCACACAAATACAGTATATTTGAATTAGGTTAAGGAAAAAATGTACGGGTTTCCCAGTAATACATTCTAAATAATTATAAGTCACTTAATCGAATTTTTACTAAAACATTTAAAATACGGTAAACAATACCATTTATCATTAACTTTTGTTGAAAATTGATTTCAATTTGTATCAATCTATACTCATTTTATTGTATTATGTTAGCTACATCATCAACTAATTTCTTTAGTTAGCATGAATACTTCAAATATGCCTTGTAATAACAGCATCTGAATAATTTACTTTATCTTTCAACTCCTCTTCCTCACCTAGTGAATGACTAAAAAAATACCAAGGAGAAAAATAATTTAAACCTTATTTATCTGAAATTAGGTTTTATTAATCTTCTTTCATTTCTACTAACTTTGTCATAAAATAATTCAACTATCTGCTGTCCTTTATCGTTTGTTAAAAATATATTTTATATCACGTCATACATACATAATAAAGTTTGATTCATAGATTGCAAAATAAAAAACCCTTGAAAGGAGCAGTAACATTGATATTAACTTTTTACATACCGTCTGTTTACATTTAGAATAATCATGTTGTTATATCTTTAAGTAACTATCACATTATAAATACCATGTATAAAATTTTAATATAGAGAAAAATATAGAGTCATCTAACAATCGATAACAAACAATTGTTGCACACAAAGTAGCAGAATGAATTATACATTTTTGACTTTTTCAAAAAAAACATACTGATAGGAAAAATAAAACAAAATTGATTTTGAAATTTGTCTAATTATTTACTTAAAAAGATCTATACATATTATTGTAAAAATAACAGTTAAACGAAAATTGAAATGTTTGTGGTTAAAAGAATTTCGATTTTGTCAAATCGTGTATATAGCAAGAAAAATCACAAGCATAATTCTGTGTAATGAAAAATAATGTACGTATACTAAGAAATCTAACCATTAACACTCATAACATAGCTGAACAAATCAAAATATTTGAACTTCCTGATTATTGACGGTAATTTAATGTATTTCGTTATGTCATACATTGTAATCTACCTAGATATTTAACTTGAAAAAGAACAGTCATCCCGCGCAACCGTGTGAAAAGTTTGAAAAACTGCCAAACTTTTTATATTGTACAACTATCTCGTTAAACGGTAAAAAGGCAGTGTATACCTCGTGTAGGGACAAATTGGGTTTTCCTACGAAAGACCTGTAGGGCCATTCCAACTTCTCGATTTCATCTTCATGAATTCACAATTCACAATTTAAACTTCTTGAATTCCCGTTTTCAACATGAATTTACGATTTCAGCTTCATGAATATTCGATTTCAACTTTACGAATTCACGATTTCTACGTCATGAATTCACGATTTCAACTTCACGAATTCGCGATTTAAACTTCATGAATTCACGATTTTAATTTCACGAATTCATTTTTTTGAATTCACGATTTCAACTTCACGAATTTACGATTGCAACTTCACGAATTGACGATTTTAATCTTATATATTTACGATTTCAACGTCACGAATAAACGAATTGAACTTCATGAAGTCACGATTTGAACTTCACGAATTCACGATTTAAACTTTGTGAATTCACGTTTTCAACTTCACGAATTCCCGATTTCAACTTCACGAATTCACGATTTCAACTTCTTGAATTTTAGATCTTCATTGAATTCGCGAAGTTGAAATCGTGAATTCAATAACTTTAAACAGTGGATTCATAAAGTTGAATTCATGAATTTGAAATCGTGAATTCGTGAAGCTGAAATCGGAAATTCATGAAGATGAACCGGGAATTCATGCAGTTGAAATGTCCCCAACGGTCTTTCGTAATTTCGTATTTCTGCGTAAAATGTTGATTATTATTTCCGCATTGTGAGGGGGCGGATTTATCTTATTTTGATTACATAACTAGTATAACAGTAACGACTTATCAATTACTAAAGGATTTAAAACGTAAACGGATAGCTGTTACATCGAGTTTAAGAGATTGGAATATTGATTTATATGATAAAACTTTTGACTGTAGAGGTGAAAGTGTGCAAAAATTGATCCTAAGAAAGGTACGTATATAGAGATATTAATTAATTGTGTGGATACACGACTTGTGAGAATTTTTTTTTTAAATATTGGGTATACATCTTAAAAAGTTATATAAGACAAATTAAAGAACCCATCCGCAATCATGAAATTATTTCTTTTTATCCATTAATAGAATGCATTTTCTTGTCTAATATTGATTTTGTAAAAAAAAAAAACTTCGGGAGGGCACTATATTAGCGCGGAATCACTCTAAATGATATTAAACATCATTAAAATAAAAGTTATGCTATAAATTTGTTAACGAAAAGTGATTTTATTACCTTTACTTCGAAGGTAAATGCTGTGTTTTCATTCTTATAAAATAGATTAATTTGACGGTAATATACATGTACAAATCTAGCTTGTCTATTGAGTTAAAATATTACTTTCGGGTAAATACTTTAAAACATTTTTTTGGTTTTAAAAGAAAAAACTATTGCATTTTTCTCTCGCTGCTGTTACTTTTACATTTTGTTTCATATTCCTTATCTGGCAAAGTCCGGCACATAAGATTAAGATAAAACAATTATTCATAAAAATAAAAACAATAATACTATTGCACCGTTTAAATGGGTTTACTTCCTTTATCGTTTTATGAATAGATTGAAATATCTACGACGATTTATTTGCCCACGCAAGTAAGATTTATATTATTCATGTTAATATACGTCATTGTTAATATGAATACAATTTACTTTTACATCGAAGGAAACGATGAACCGCAAGACAGTTATAAATTTCGTGGCAACATTGTCTTCTTATTTTTTTTCTCGTAACCATAGATAAACGTTTGCTGTTTTCTTTTTATCATCTTTTTAAGAATTATATTTCTTTTCCGTCATATATCATTACTACATGTGCTATTTTTTGCATAGCCTACACATTAACACGGTGTAACTGGATAAAAACAAAAGACAAAGCTATGCGACGATAAAAATATGATACATTGTCGACGATTTAGTGCTATACGGAACATTAAAAAAAATTTCGTTTCAGTTCAAGGATTTCCTTTTGTCTTCTCTTTGCATGATAAGAGCTATTGTAATTAAATCAAAAACACACGTAAACCTAAAGTAGACAATAAGCTCTGCGACGATAGAGGACTATAGCGCATAACTGACATACGGTTTTAGCATGTCTTGAATCACACGATATATGAGTATCCTTTACAGCAATTATATTTGCAATTTACGTGTATCTATATATAGATTTATTGTTGGGATTTCAGTTGATTACTTGCCAATTTTTATAAAAAAAAAACATTATAACGTATCAGTTGCACTAGAGCTTTATTATCAGAATAATTAATTACTTAATCATTATCTCTAAATTATTCATCACCATTGAAATACAAGAAAGTTAGTCTTACTTTGTGTGCCTTATTATTTATTACATATTATAAAATATGAATGGATTTATTGGATGCATGAAATAATAAAGTTTTTTTAACGAACTGCAATAGCCAATATGTTAATTTGTTTATTTAGAACAGTTTGCATGTTACACATATTTATTTTCCAGGTTGACTTGAATGAAACGGAGGTGCGAAATAAGCAAAAACAATTTCTGGACCCTAAACCAGCACCAATGACTTCAGTGCCACACCACCTTTAGAAATTATTTTAAAAGAGTTGCCTTTTGATTGTGATTAAACGCAAAATGGAATAAGAATTATATTCATTGCAAAAGAGCGCATAAATAGACCAACCTTGTATTGAAGGTTTAAGCAAGGTCTCGACTGATAGAAATCATATCACATAGTTATACGCTAAATATGTTGCTAAAAAGGGACTGCTATAGTTGAGATGTTTTGCATTTTATGTAACTAAGGAATATATATATAAACACATATAAATATGACTGACAAGTCACATGAAACAGCTAGCAACGTCCATACTTGGCGTATATGGCTTCAGTTGTCTTTTCTATAGAAAGAAACGGTGTCAGGTAATTATCGTATCGGATCCTACATTTTGTGTTATCATTCTAACGAAAAAAACAACGAAAGACATACTGGTACATAACTGGTTTTATTAAAATCAGTAATGATGTCAAGATCGTTTACCGTTAAACCCTGGTCTTATCATCAATATGACACTATTTTTAGTAGCTGTAGTACAACGAGACAGAACAAAAATGTGTCCTTAAAACATAAAAGATATGTGCAAATACCAATTGAAGATGTGCGGAGAAAACTTACCGAGAGGAGCATCATATCATATGAAACAGACGAACTTACCGGTCAGCATCAAATAGCCTATAAGTCAATTAGTCAGTCAAAAGCTATTCTGAAGGATGATCGAGAAAAAGTTGCCCTTCCACGTAAACACTATCACAATATAGAGAGTTTTTTGTCTTCATTCGAAAATCAAGATGATAAAACCGTTACTTGTGAAGCACATCCTTTCTTAGAAAATCTTCATTATAAGTATAATAATCCCCTTTATCGGAGTTGCAGTCAAACAAGAGACCCTCCAACATCATATTGTGAGAACATTGAGGATCAACAGAACTCATCTGGAGTTGTAACTGAAAATCCTCTAGCTAAATACAAGTATTATCCTGAGAGAAAACGTTCATTCGAGCGGTGTATATATATTGCAAAGCCAGACCAGGACAATCTTAGTAAAGCTGGTTTCTTTTACACTGGTAAAGTTTATGGACTTGTAATATATATATATATTTATATTTAGATTTATTGAAGTTTAATTTCTTAACCACTTTGAAATTGTAAACTCGGCTTAAATCTTAGTAAGAAAAAACGACATTTATTTCAATATATTATCCTAACTCTGCGTCGATTGTTTAGTAAATTAACAAGATTTAAAAACACACTAAGCAATTTATTGATTTATAACACTAATTATATCAAAGTTTGTGGTAAAGTTTATTTCATCCTCATTTTAGGAGCTAAAGACAAAGTTCGTTGTTTTAGTTGTGGTATTGGACTCAAAGATCTTACTGTCGACATGAATCCAGAGGTAGAGCATGTCAGGCATTCTGATAACTGCTCATTTTTATCATATCATCTTGGTCAAAGGCTAACAACCGTAAAGGTACTTTATTAAAATAGTTCTAATCTATTGTTTTCTCTCAATGTGACATGCATGTGTTTTTTTATTACATTTAAATAAACATTTACAGAATATTTTCAATTAAATATTTGAATTATTTTTATTATAATTGGATATCGTAGGTGTAGTTTACATATGTCAGAGAAGTAAAAAATAATAAGACAACGTGGTGTGATACATAAACACATGTGTCGTTTTAAAATAAGGGTTATTGTACGAGATATGGCAAATTAATAATTACTCTTTTTAGACGGATCTTTGTAAGAGTGATGCTGAATATTACAGAAAATGGCAGTATAGTAAAGGTATTTTATATGCTATGTCATGCAAACTACATTTGCTTAAAATATCTATTCTTTTTCATTTTTATTGTATGGATTGTTTGCTGAGTAAATGTTAATAGAACTTAAAGAACTGTATTTCTGTATTTTTTTCAAATGAACAGCACTTGATTGTTGCAAAAAATTACACTTTTGATGCGAGGTTTGTATTATATGTCTTTTAGATTGAATTGTAAGTTACTATTAAACTAGGAGTTTGATAATAATAACAAATAAGTATAAATCATCATTTGTCACCAAAAGAAACTAAATTTATTCTTATCAAATAGCATCAGATCATATATTTCAATTAACTACTTCTATAGACAAAGATAATTAATGTATTGGGTCCTTATAAAACAAAAATACTGTTGTGTTACTGATCTAAATGGTATGTTATTCATTTATGAAGAAAACCAATGTCCAATATATGATTCAAACTTTGAGAAAATAAAAGACCGGATTGCATCACTTGATAGATGGCCCCTTGCAACATATGAACATTCAGTGGCTGAAGCGGGATTTTATTACAGTGGTAAGCTCTTTGTCTAACACAAAAGATTGAAAGCTTAAAGATCTTTTATAGTATATAAATGTAGTGTTACAATGTTATTCAAAATTATATATCAAGCGAGAGATCTGCATCGTCATGCTCCTTACACTGTTAATCTAAACTAATCACTTCTGTTTACCAATTTTTGGCAAACACCGCATATGTAAACAGAGCTGCATTACTGGTACTGGTACTGGTACTGCAGTACGCACTGCAGCGATTTTGCAAGTACTGGTACTGGTACTGCATTACTGTCTTAAAAAGTGGTACTGCTACTGCATTACCCAGTACTTTTGGTTTTGATAAAAATTAAAAATAGCATCAATTTTTCTCATAAAATAAAGCTGTAAATTACATTAACTACATGTATATCTTATTTTTGTGAAAAAAGTAAGTTATCAAATCTAAAGATAATTTGCTGCAATATCCTTCAAATGTTAACATAGTATTCGTCATAAAAAGCACCAAAGACTTTAAGTAAAAATTAATTTAAGATAAACAGACTCAATAACTCTTTACCCTAAAATATCCTTATTAAAATCTTTTATTACTTTGTATTTACTAGTAAAAGAGCAAAATGTTAATGTTAATTAATTTCTTCTATTCTAAATAATCCCATTTCAAGTGAAAAAAGTGATATTGTTAGCATCATAAAAAGTTGTTATTTACTTTGGTATAAATTGAACAGAGGTGTGAAGGTGTGAAAGGCAACAAAAGACTGTTGTGTTTTAAATGAAAGATGTTTGCATTGTATTTATACAGTTGACTGGTTACTGAACAATTAGATATGACATGAATATATGTTGTAAATATTGTTTGTAAAAAGGATGTTAAAACTATAAAGTTATAAATATGTTATTTAACTTTAAAGTAAATTATGATTTTATTTCTTTGCTGAATGATATTTGCAATTATTTGTTTGACACTGTATTTATTCAAACTTTGATGAATATATAAAAGTAATGGTACTGATACTTAATTACTTCACCAAAAAAAGTACTGGTACTGCAGTACCGAGTTAAAATCTAATACTGGTACTGGTAATGGTACTGCATAATTTGCCAAGTACTGGTACTGGTACTTAAGTACTACATCCTTAGTACTGATGCAGCTCTGTATGTAAATTGTCTGATATATATTATTATTTATTTGATACAGGTTTTGAAGCTGACGTTCGATGCTATGCATGCGACGGTGGGTTTCGAAAGTTAAAATCGGTAGATGATTTGTGGTTGGATCATTGCTTCTATTTTCCATCATGTCTTTATTTGGAATCAAAAGTTGGACCGCATTTTTTAAACCAGGTTAATGAAATTGCAAGCGCCATTCACCTGAAGGTAAAGGCAATAACTTTCAAGCTAAATAGATACTAAACATAATGACCATTATAACTGCTTTTCTCAAAAATGTTTCTCTATGTTGTCTTATATATTACTCTATTTCTGCACATCACATGGGAGATAAAAGTGTAAACATGTAAACAGCAAAACAATTAACAGGTAGTTTTATCTTATTACATCTTTATACTCTTTTTTTATAGGAGGAGAACTTGATAGCAACAGGTGGGGCAACAATGCGTGAAATGTCTTCTGAAAACCATTCATATCTTAAAAGTCAGTGTTTGGAAATGGGATTCCAGGAAAGGGATGTTGATAATGCTCTCACCCAGATGGTTATAAGAGGTTTATATATATATTTAACATTAAATATAGTCAGAGAGATAATAATCAAGCACACTTTCTGTTACATGTAAATTATTTGTTTCCGTATACATAAACGTATTTTTTTTTATTTCAGTAGAAAAGCGGTTTAAAAGATATTGTCTTGCCAATGCTTGGTATTAGTACATGTGTTTCTTTTGGCTTATTATTGTACTATCAAATATATGTCGTCATAATGCATTTTTAATATGATACGCGTACTTAAATTTGTATCAATCAAGGATATCTAGACATTATTTTTTTCAAATAAAGGATGTAAATGTCAATAACTGAATTTCTTAACTCAAATTCAGGTTTATGTTTTTGTTTTTATTTACAGGGTACAGGCACAACATCGGGCCGTTGTTAGAGTTGTTAACGTAGAAAGGGAACTGCAATCAACTTGGAAAATATTGTTAAAACATTGATTTCAGTTTTCTTTAACATAAATCATAGATTTAAAATTTGTATGATAAAAACATTTAAACCAGTAAGTAATGAAAGTGTGCAATACACATAAAATATTGCATGAATGTCTTTTCTGCCTTGTTTCCTCAATATTGAAGGCTCAACTCAACTTAAATCAACAAGAACAACATTCACAGGTAATATTTCTTTCATCAAAGGCTTTATCAAATACTTTCGAAAGATCATACTCCAGGTAATGACTTAAATGAAAAAAATTGCTTTGACATCCAGGGGCAACGAAAAAGTCGATCTTTGTCATGACAGCTATGAGTAAGCGATTAAGCTAGGTCCCGAATTAAGTCGTTTGTTCTCGACTTCCTGACACATGTTTTACTTTCATAGTTGATAAGTCAACTGCAATCGTCCACCAACTTACTGGTGCGAAAAGCCAATGCTTTCAGAAAGATTGGTCCTTCGCATACACAAATTAACTTAGTACGTAGTTTGGTAAATATTTCTCAATTTGATAATTTGTGAATATGCCAGTGGTACATGTTAAACAGCAGAATAATAAAACATAGAAGGCGTTTAATTAAAAAAATTGTAGATAATTTAACATAGTGAATATTTATTGCTTAACCGTCAGTATATGTTCAGTTAAGTGTAGCAGATTAAATGCGTTAAAACTGCGACGTTTAGTTGAAAAATAGCATGCGTAAATAATCAAAAATATTTTAACATAAAGACATGCACAATTAAAACATCACACTATATGGTTGGACACTTGAACAGTAATCTCACGTTTTTTTGTCTTAATATTGTTATATTTGTTGGATTGCATTAATTGCAAAATAAAACAAACAAATACATATACAATGTACTACCTTTCCTTAGACAGTTCCAAGCTTAAACTCAGATATGCAGATATCAGATATTTGATTGATCAGAAAAAATGTATATATATAAAATTGTACAATTATGTGAATCGATGATATTGGAAAAGCAGAATTAATTAACAAGCCCAAATATTTTTTAAAGAAAGTTTATTTGCACTAATCGACAATGCTCACACCATAAAAGTGCGAATTTTCTCTTGTATTCCTCTGTAACAAACAGGACATTTGTCAATAGGATCAGCACATGCCATGCATACCTCATGATGTGTGCATGGTAAAAACAAAGCATTGACAGTGTTCGTGTGACATATCATGCAATAAACCATACTTTTGAGCCGCTGATTTTCCGCAGAAGGTGATTCTGGAAAGAAAATCAACTATTGTTCTAACATGAAATAAAGACCACCTTTAAAGAAACAATTTAACTGTTTAATCAACTTCTCTTGATTAAGAAATTGATGATATAAAGTTAGCAGTAATTGTTTTATTTAGTACTTTGTGTAATTTATTTGCTGTAACATTAAATGGCAATTATTTTAAGAAGCGAACATACTGTCTCCAACGAAAACACAATATACAAAAGGAAACAATTAAACCTCAAAAGAAATCTCCAGTTGTTTTGCAAATAACCATTTAATTCAAAATATCAAAAAAATACCAACCGATTGCACTTGCTGTCTGATTTTTAATACAATTTCTTTCTCTTATTACATCTATCAAGACAATTATCTCCTCAAGCGTTGGTTTCTCTTGTCCTGTAGTTGAATTTATGAAATTTTTCAGCAGAATTATAAATACATGTAAAATATTTTAGTTAAAATATTCAACGGAGAGTAACGTTATTCACCAGCCCAATATTTGAAAAATGCAGTCAAACAATCATACAATTACTTTTCAAGACAGAATAATTCAAGTTGGGTGCCCTGCATGAACGGGAATTAGTATAATATTTGAATATAATTTCCTGCTAAAATTGATTAACTATAGTTTATCTATTCACAAGACAATAAATTACCTCGATCTAAAAGTTCTCGAATAGATTCTTTTATAATGTCCTCTGTATATCCCATTTCAAGACAAGTTGTTTTATGCTGACCCATTACAGATTCAAAAGCTGATTCCTTTAATCTTAGCAGTGCCATCGCTGATGTTATATCTTGATCCGCATCAGCATTTGCACCAAAACTCTGTAAAGGATGAATTATCGTTACAATCAAATTTCAGTTAAATTATCATGATGGTTTTGCACAAGACGAAAGAAGCAACCTTCAGTATTTCAGTATTTAGTGCGGCTCATTATCTTACAAACGTCAATCTAGACGGGTTGCTAATTGACATACATGAATTATGTAAACCATTTTGTTAGGTGAGAATAAGCGTAACGTTTGTCTTTTTGCAAAAGTGTAGGTAATTTACTATACCTAACATAATCGCAGGAGATGAGAAAGGTAAATTTCCTGGTACTACTAAATTTAATATTGAACAGAGAAAAAAATGCATAGATTAGCTACAGGGCAACCTCAATAATAAAGAGACGTGTATTTCAAAAGAAGATTTTTTAACCATTTTAAATCTTTATATGCTAATGAAAATGTATATATGAGTGATCATGTGGAAGAAGATATATCTCAAAATAATAATGATATTAATATTGAAGAACTTGATAAAGATTTTACTGTAGATGACATTATAAAAGCAATATCAGCACTTAAAGTAGGTAAAAGTGGAGGAGAAGATAATTTGATTGCAGAAATGTTTATAGAATGTATATTTATTCTTGCACCTTCTTTATGTAAGCTTTTCAATTTTATTTTCTCTTCCGGTGAATATCCCGAACCCTGGACTAAAGGTTTTATTATTCCTGTTCCCAAATAAGGTAATTTGAATGATGCAAACAATTATCGGACAATAACTCTGACAAGTATTTTTTCTAAGCTTTTTTCAATTTTACTTGATACACGTATACGTAAGTGGGCTGACTGCAATAATATATTTACTGATAATCAATTTGGGTTTATAACCGGTAAATCAACTGTAGAGTGTGTCTTTGTATTGACATCTATCATTAACAAAATAATTAAACATGAAAAAAGAAAAAAGGTTTTTTTCAGCATTTGTTGATTTTCAAAAGGCATTTGACCTTGTTTACAGAAATGGAATTTGGTATAAAATGATAACTTATGGAATTTCTTGTAAGATTATCAAAATATTGCAAAGTATGTATAGTGAACATTATGTGTTCGCGCTTCTGGGTCACTAACGGATTTTTTTGATTTTGGGCGTTAAACAGGGAGAATCCCTTTCTTCTCTTCTATTTATATTATTCGTCAATGATATGAATGATTTTATGGAGAATGAAGCAGTTGATGTTTTTACTCTTGATGAATTGCAGATATTTTTGTTATTATTTGCCGATGATACCGTTTTATTTTCTCATAGACAGGAAGGTTTACAATTACTTCTTAACAAATTAAACCAATATTGTACTGAATGGGGACTTACTGTAAATGTTGATAAGACTGTCACAATGGTTTTTAAAACCGGCAACAGGAATGATAATGTTGAGTTCTTTTATAATAATGAAAAAACTAAGGTTGTACAAAAATTTACTTAATTAGGTGTCACATTATCAGCAAATGGAAGCTACTATCAAACTAAAAAGGTATTGTCCCATCAAGCGACAAAGGCATTGCATTCACTGAATTCTCTTTTTGATGTAGTTAATCTTGATGTTACTGAAGAAATTAAACTTTTTGAATCAATGGTTTTACCAATATTGACATATGGATGTGAAATTTGGGGTTTTCATAATAGTCCAGACATAGAGCGCGTTTATCTTAAGTTCCTTAAACAGATTTTAGAAGTTGGTCAACAAACAACAAATATTGCCGTTTATGGAGAATTGTGTAAATTTCCATTATCAGTCATTCGTAATATCAGAATAATAAAATTTTGGTCTAGAATTAGGAAAACCCCAGGTACACATATGTATAAAAGTATGTATTTAAAAGACTAGAATGATAATTTAGTCAATGCCTGGACATTAAATGTAAAACGTTTGTTAAATTCGCTTGGTTTACAGTATTTGTGGGATCCAAACTTAGTATTAAATAATTCTCAAGTAAATAGTATTATACAACGTATTAAAGATCAAAATATGTAAAATTGGTTAGCTGAACTGCGTGTATCTAGAAAATTAGAAGTTAATAAAGAAATTAAAACTGATTTTGGTTATGAAAAATATCTTAGTATCATAACACATGATAAACATAGAAAATCCCTTTCAAGATTTAGATGTTCGGCTCATAGATTAGCTTTAGAGGAAGGTCGCTTCGGAAATAAAGATAGAAACAATATATTATGTGTGAAATTTAATATGAAAGTTGTTGAAAATGAGTATCATCTGTTATTGGTATGTCCATTTTATTCTGATTTAAGAGCACTTTATTTACCAAGATACTATTATACTTGGCCAAATATAAACAAATTTAAAAGTATAATGACTTCTTCTTCTAAAAACGTTATAATAAAATTAGCTAAATATATTCACTTATCATTTGAAAAAAGAAATACTGTCTAGTTTTCTGTTAAGATTTTTTTCTCATTATTTTCAAACAATATTATTCTGAAAATCAAGGTTGTTTTTTTTGTGTTTCACTGTTATTTTCCTGTAATTATGTAGCTATGTTAAATCCATCACCATACTTTTCTGTACTTAAATATTATGTATATTTTGTACATGTATTTATTACAAAAATTGTAATTGTATATTCAATGTTTTATGTTAAATTATAAACCGCCATTCATAAACTTTGGCGATGAACGTGTAAAATGTTTATGCCAATAAACTCTTTGACTTGACTTGGTAGTTAATATTTCCTACTTTTAACTAAGCGTTTCCGGATGGATTGCATCCGATTAACAAGAAATATTGACTTGTAAAGACAAATTATTTGCAGTTACACAGGCAAAAAATGCATTTCATAAAAATAACACGCATAACATTGTGTCCTTTGTACCAAAAAAGAGACCTTTTTTATAACTGTACAATATTATAGTACTCTATTAAGATTCATAGGTTGAATAGATACATATATATAATAATTATAGTGTTATGTATTATAATTTCTCGCTTTGAAGCTTTGTCTTATTCATTTCATACCAAACGAGTATCTGAAAACTTATGTTGCCACAAAATGTCGAGTATACACATACAGTGAAGATTTATTTGTTATCGAATGTGTCATAAATTATAACTATCGCTATTTCATAGCAAGTAATAATACGTTTAAAAGTAACTCGATTCTATACGTAACACTGATATCACATTAAACGTGATGAAAAATACATGCCTGGTTCTCAACAGAAGCTTGTACCAGAGCTATAAATTGTTCTCCCTTCTGTTCCAAAGCAAATGGACAAGCCGGGAACCAGCGACAATGTTCTGTCCAAGGATCGTCCTCAGGATCCCAACGTCGTAATCCTCCGTCACAAGCAAAGCAACGTACCTGGTCTTCAAAACCTAGTACAGCATAATAATGTCAGCGAACTTTCGACTTTAAAAATTATGATGTTTTTTACATAAGCATTGTTTTCATAGAGGCTATTTGAAAATGTATTTTATACTGTTATGTATGCTTCTTACAAGCGTGATTGTGTAATACTATATGGATAACGTTCACTTATCTTATATTTCAGAAATACAGGTTGAGGTATTAATAACCATGTCAATATCAATTTGTTCTTGTTTATATTATTCATTTTCTTTGTTTTTGTATTTTCTGATCAAAGATCAGGAAATACAAATCAGACATTCAATCTCTGACACAGCGCTTAACGACAAACCTAACAACAAGGAGGTCTCAAAACACCTTATAACTAGCGATTTAAAAGAAGGAAATATTTTTATTTTGTTATACGGATCCAACAAATCACAACGCATTTAAAGTTTAAAAGTAGGATTGGCTTATAGAATTGTCAATAAATGCACAATCACAAATACGCGGATGAATATGATTTTAATCAATGAAAGTGCTATTTTTAGCGATGTTGATTACCGAATACTTCAGACAAATCTGACTGTCGCGTGTAGTGGAATATATACATGTCGGACTGTTTTGACGAGAAGATGTTCGCTAAGTAATTTACATCAATGTTAAACAACATGTTTATCGTGAGCGAAATATCTCGAAATTAATAAGGATTACCACCCGAAATGCAATGGAAATACTAAATTTAGAATTACTTGATTGTATTCAGGTTTTTTTTCTCGAATAACTTCCCTTTGGTGCAATTGGGTAACGCGCTCGTTTAGTGTGTGAGAGGTCTGGGGTTCAAATCTCAGTCGAGGCAATTATTTTTTTAAGTGTCTTTGTCAAGGAAGTAGCCACAATATGCAAGGATAAAGTGTGGCTGTCATAAAAAATGAACATAAATGATTTTTGATGCAACTCTAGTCATGCAAAATGCCGTATGTATCAAACTTTAATGCCCTGCAAGATGAATTTTAGTACATGAAAATAAACTTATACAGAAAAGAGCTTGCAGCCCTTTGATTTTGTACAGTATTTGGTACGCAACAAAAAGCATTAGACAATTGTACTTCTATGTACCAATGTAAATACGATTAAGTCTATATTTATTTGAAGTTAATTGATCTTTTACCGGTGTAATAAAGCCCTGCCTCTGCTAATTGTTGAGGAGTTTGTGTTAAATGCTGCGGCCAGTTTGTGAAAGATCTAAGACGGGCTTCTATTGTTCGATACTCTGGGTGCCGAATTTCTGACCTCCGCGGTGCTGAACCACTTTGTATCTCTATTATAGAAAACAGATATAGATGTTATATTGAAATAAGTGAGTTTATTAGTTCCAGACCAGGTGGTAGTCTTTAGTTGTTATACAATTTTGATGTAACAAATGTATTACCCTTAATAAATGATGCTTTATTTGCATCTTTATGAATATTTTGATAGATGGGTTTTTCTTTTATAAAACAATACCATTATTTTTTTTATCATAAAATTTTACTTATGACACTAAAATATATTATTATAAAGAGCTGACATTATTGTTATTATATTTAATTAAAACCTTACGTGTCCATTGTTGTTGGCGATTATATTCAGGATCGGTTGCTTGAAGACGTGCCTACGATATAATTTAGATATAGTTTACATACATGTTTATTATTATAATGATGACAATACGTCAAACAACAATGTCAATTTTTTTCGTTTGACAGGTTTTGCATGTATTTGGTATAAAAATGTCACAATTACTGTGCAATTTTAATCTAAGCAACTTTAAATAATATTAAACAAATTATGTTTTAAATGATCAAACGTGATGTAGTTCAAGAATGTTTCCATACCTGATAACTAGCTAGGCCTGCCTCACCTAGAATTTCTGGAAGAAAGGGACAGTTTTTAGAATGCCGAACATGCTCTAACATTGGGTCGTCCTCTTCTGAAAAGTCTTTGAGCCCAATACCACATTGGAAGCAACGAACTAGATCGCTGTCATCTGAAAATATATCAATTTGTAAATGTTTTTCTTTCTTATTCTTACAACTGTGTACAATTTAGGGATAGTTTCTTAAAGTTTTCTTTTTAATCTTTTATAATGTTGCATGAATGTGACACACGGTGAAGGCATACATTTAGTATACCCAATTCATTTGACAAGATAAACTGATTACATGTATTTGACAATGTTCATAAGGAAAAAATGAATTGCAACGCTCAAACGTATTGATCTTCAGTAGTAGGGTACAATCAATGATTCGAAAAGACAAATATTTTTGATATAATAAAACTTGGCGACCTACTTGTAAAGAAAAATCCGGCTTCACTCAATGTTCTTGAGTCTGGACGTGTGTGTGTCCATCTTTCGAATGATAGAAACCTCGCAATGCAATTGGCATAATTTGGATGTCTAGGCGGAGCATGTGATCTTCCTTGTGCTGACTGTGCGTTGGAATTATTACGGTTATAATAGCTTCTAGACCCTTGATCAAGACCATAAGAAATGTCAGCTTGAAACATAGTTGAATGGTCGCTGGAAATCACTTGTTCACCTTCCGATTCGTCAGTTACTTGTTGCACCGGCAATTTATATTGATCGGTAAACGATGGATATACTTTAGCAGTTTTACCGTTTGGTGTCACCTGCTTCGGAAATTTCGGAATATTTTTTGAAAAACGAGTTGTTGGAACTTTCTTAATGCTGTTGAACAACTTCTCTTTTGTTAGTTTCAGTGAAATATTATGCTCTTTCTTATCTTTCGTTTTACTTGCATTGCTATGAATTTCCATATGATTGCATGATAATAATGTAGGTGCAGATTTTTTTTCTTTAGAACAGTCTTCACATAAGGCATAAGATTCATTATGGCTTTCCCCTTTGATAATATCGTCAAGGTAAATGATCGGCTGTGGATAAATATCCATTCTTTCACCTAGTTGTTTGAATATTGATTTGAAATAAACATTTTTCGGTAATATAAGAAAATTACCTTTTGTATTCCGATAAACCAAAACAGTTTTGCATGTACTGTACACTTTAAACAGTTCAGAAATGCTTTTTTGTTGACTTGATAATGTGTTTTCTAATGTGTGTAAAAAATTGCTTGGCGGATTTAAAAAGATATATGACATTTCCAAATTAAATAAAAATATTCCCCCAGGAAAACGTTCAGGCAACTGTTGAAGAGAAAACAATAGATTTTCAGGATTTAACTCTCTGGAAATAATTTTAAGCACAGTGGCACGGTTTTCTCCAGTTCGTTTTTGACATCTGTCAATAGATCTATTAGTTCCATCATTATGTTTGCTTTCTGCCCTCTCTATTTTACGCAAACTTCTATTTTTGTTTATCGAACCACCATACATTTCTTTGAGATTGACTAGTGCTAATCAAATAGAAATGTCTCACAGAATATAAAGATAAAAATAAAGGTTATATCTCGTAGTCAATTATCTTTTCCCTGTTATGCTTCCTTTTATTACTTTTTCTATATGATTGAGCAACTTGTGAATCTGCAAATAAGTTATAGACATAAATTATAAAGGTAAAATTTAATTTCAGATTAAGCAAATGATCACGAAAAGAACATTTAAGTATTTTGCTTTACCTTTAGACATGTATGTCATGGCATTAAAAAGCCTTTCATTCTGAAATCTTAAATAAAATCATTTTGATAATATATTACGTACGATATGCAAAATACTTTTGATCACAAATGCCATGTGTGATATTTATGAATAACATGTTTAAGTACACAGTTAGTTAGACATACTTCTTAAACCTAATCATTTTGAGATAAAAAAAGTTCTAGTTTTCCACTTTTGTGTTGTTTTACATCAGAAACATTAACGTTCGAACACGTAAAATCTTATTTATAAGAAAACGTAATATCTCAAATCAAAACAATTGAAAAGGGAGCAAATTTATAGAATTTGATCGAACAGAGACCATAAAACATTTATCTCCCTTACCGTTAATTAGGTCAATCTCTATAGTCAGCTGACAGAGTTAATCTTGTGAAAGATTTTACAACCATAACAAATGAAATACTAATTTCAAACGAAATATTTCTACAATTTATTTGAATTTTAACAATGAAATGATACGTTTTAAAGCATTTATTTAACTAAGATAAACTCTCAATTTATTACCCTATTCCTTGTTGTTTACGTTTTCTTCACAGTATATTATTATTTAGATTTACTTTAGTTTGAATGATAGTTTACTGTAGTTTACTGTAAAGTTATTAAATATGAAGGGCTACTCTTTTCTTTATAAATCAAATTGCTTACCGAAACCGAATAGCCAAACTTTTCCTTTGTTAAAATCATTATTACTTCCTGTTTCGTATTTACGTGTACAGTTGTTATCTGATATGATCTGAGCAAGCGCTCAATTGTTAACCAGACGCAGTTTATTTATTTACATATAGACACTAGCGTAGCGTACAGAATAAATAATAGAGATATAATAATAACTATCAAATAATTGGAGATAAATAAAAACGAAAGCATCAATTTGAGATATTTTTCAATGTAAGATTAACATAATACACAATGAATCTATTGAGCGTGCTTGTTAGTAAGGAAAATAAAATAAAGGATGTATCGAAACATCGTTTTATAAATACACTGAATGAAATAATGATGGGCTGGTATTGACTATTGATTCTCAGTACAATATGTTGTTTTTATCTCAAAAGAATATTATGCTAGTGGACAAGAGGTGTTTGGTTAAACAAGTAATAATTTGGTTTACAGCTTTAAATCGTTTTCATCAGACTTCTATATTCTTAACATTTAAAAGGAGAGCACTAAAATCTTTTCCTTCTTTGTTCAAATGCTACTTAATCCATAGTAAATAGTCGTGATAGTATAATCTTATGTCAAATGACTGTGAAGGTTTATTTATAAAATAAGGTCGGTTTACATTAAAAATATATTTTCTATACCAAAGTAATTCCAATAGGCTTGACCTTAACATGATATCTGTTTTTAAATTAGCCGACTGACGTGACAGTCAAAGTTAGGATATTTCAAGTTAAATCAGTCAAATTATGTATGTAATATCACTCAGTATTTCTGAATTCGTAGCTAAATGTTTAAATACTGACGATTACTTGAAAGTATGTACGATGTCTGGCTTGTGTGAGGTGAGCAAAATGATAATAAATGATATAAATAAATACTTAAGAACACAATGCCTTTTTAAACAAAAAATACATATACTTGATGGAAGAAAGAAGGCTTAACTTTAGATAAATTGTTCATTTTTATTTGAGAAATAATTCTGAAACCTCGAATTTGCTTGACAACAGGTAATGTGACATGCTTATATGTACATTCATTATTAAATGATAAATTTAATTTTCAAGTTTATAATGCATACTTATTAAACGAAATAAGAAAAAAATCCTCAAAACAATAAATATCAACATAACGTTTGTGAGGTTAATCGTTTGTTGCCATTTTAGTACAGTTTCCTTACTTTGTCTTAATTTTGCGATATGGAATTCAGTTTTTATGTTCAAAATCTAAATTTAATTTGTTAATCATTCAGTCATTATCTAAATCAATTATTTCATACATTGTTCGGTAAAAAAATGAAAAAGAAAAGAAACTAGAAAAAAAACAATAGGACAGAAACAAAGAGAAGAAAAAACAAAACAAAACAACCCACCCTAAAAACAACAATAAAAAACAACAACAACAACAAAACAAAAAGAAAAAAGAAAAAGAAAAAAAGGATCAATAACAACAATAACAACAACAATAAACAAACATTATTTATATACCAGTATTAAAAGAAAATAAACCTTTACCTATATATGTTCCAAATCTTAATGTTTGATTCAGTGAAAACTTCCTGTTTCGTCTTATGATTACAAAATCTTTTATGCACTACACAAATCTTGATAATTACGGAGCCGTGACATTTTCGACATTTTTTCTCCGGCATTTAATTCGTTTTTATGAAATCATAATTCGTCATTACGAAACATTATTTCGTTATTATAAAATAATAATTCGTTATTACGAAATGTTAATTCGTTTTTACGAAAAATTAATTCGTTTTTACGAAATATTAATTCGTTTTTACGAAATATTAATTCGTAATTACGAAATATTACTTCGTTTTTACGAAATCTTTAAAAAACGAACATGCTATATTATTAATTTCTTTCATTATATACATTAGTAAAACTAAAAGGGTGGGGGGAGGCTCCAAATTTTCACTAATCTAATCAATTTTTAAAAAAAGTATATTTCCTTACAATTTATGTATGGGCACCGTGCGATCATAAAAAAAACATAATATTTTATTTCAAAACTCAATAACATCGACAAAACGATGGATTTGAAGCGCAGGACCCACATTTTAACAAAATTTTCCTAGCGCGTGTACTATCACGGCTGTGGAGGCAACGCTATTGACAGGCAATTACAAAAGTGTTAAGAAACAAAGCACTATTTATATTGCATTTACATGCCTTATAAGTTTCGAGGCCTTCATTATAAACATTATCAAAAATTTAACTCGTTTTTACGAAATATTATTTCGTAATAACGAATTATTAGTTCGTATTTACGAAATAACATTTCGTTTCTACGAAATAATATTTCGTAATTACGAAATAATATTTCGTAGGAACGAAATAATATTTCGTAGAAACGAATTAAATTTTCGTAATTACGAATTTATATTTCGTAAAATACGAATTAATAATCCGTAATTACGAAATAATATTTCCCAATCACGAATTAATATTTCGTTAAAACGAATTAATATTTCAACGAATTAAGTTCCGGGAAAAAAGTGTGGAAAATGTCACCTTAGGGGCTCTGTAGATAATAATCAGCTAACTTATATTATTATTTTTCAGCTGAAATTTAGTTCTATACATGACAGAATACATAGAAATGATTTTATTGTTTCAGTCCATCTTATATCAAAAATAATTACATTTTTACACAAACAAATCAAAATAAATAGGAAATAAACGAAGGCGTCTTTGTCACAGCCATATTTTCACAGTGACAACAGTACAGGTTCCTTCCAGGAAGCAGATATTTGAGTGGTTAAAATTAGTTCCAAACTGTCTATAAACTTAAACAGAACAAAAACTAGTAAAAACTAATTTTAAAAATTGACACGAGTTCAAACTCAACATTTTAAAATGATAAGATACCCAAGACTACTATACCAGTAAGCAACAACAGTGTCATGTCCAAACCCGTAGGAGATAAATTATGTCCCATGTGTTTTAGCAATAACATGGTAGGCAATAAAATAGAAACTAGCACTTTCCCGTGTCAACACACATGATAAAATATGATTTTAAATATTTTGTTCTAAAAATAATATTTTGAACTGAACTAAATGACTTATATTAAAATGTATATTCTTAAACACATTAAATGACATAGTCATCACTTATTGTCATGGCAACAACAAAAAACTATATTTTTTTCACTGTGTAATCCGATGCTTATTTGAAATGGTAAAATCTGTCGATCGACTAATGAAACTATTTTGCACTGGAGACTCAACATATTATAGTTATCTACATGATGCCAAAACGTACAGATATTGCACTAATTAAGACAATACAAAAATCCACTATGTGCTAAAAGAACTTCTTACGGGTATCTTAATCCTCCGTGTGAACACACCACTTTGAGAAGCTCAGTTTTGGTCGTTTCTTTAAGACTATTATATTGATTAGTATTAATCAATTATATAAATCTGGCGTGAGAACTATTTATAACATTTTACTCATTACATTCTTGTCAGCAGTGTATTATGGTAGGTGTATTACAGCATCTGTGTAAGTGCAATTGTTTTAACAATAAACAGCTTCTTTTAATTGCACTTATATCAAGACTAAGTTTTACAAAAGTAATAAAGCGTAGCTTAGCACGTGTATTTTTGACAAGGTATTGACCCAAGTTATTCAAATTACATGTAACGTTATATCAGAGAAATTATTGATAAACAATGACCAAATTTTAATTCTTTAGAATATTTGTCTACCTTTCCATTGACTGCGATTTTTGACCCACGTAACTCTATATTAAATGCCACCAGCCTTCGGGAAAGTAATAAATAAATAAACTTCGGTTTTGCCCTTGCATTTTATTTACGGCGCAAAAAGTGGCCCGGACTTGCTAAGTGTAATTATCTCAAACTCGGAAGTAAATTATGTCAAAATTGATTTTGTTCAGAGATAAGGCACAAACAATAGAAATGTTTTAATGCATTAATCAAATAAGTACTCAAATATAATGGTAGACAAATATTAACTAATAATAGGTTTTGACAAATTTCATGATGAATAATTCATATAAAAATTAATAAGCATAGATCAAATACCACTCTTGTATAGAAATTAGAAAATAGATAAACAATTAACAAATCAAATGGAAAACTTACAGTACAAAATAAGATATGTCTGTCTGACATATAAAGAAATAAACAAAAATTTAATCTTTCAGGAGTGGACCTAAGATGCGGAAGGACACAAAATAATTACTTACCCTTAAAGGGAGACACAGGCAAAATTCTAATTTCTCCGTTTTGAATTTTTCATTCGTTATTCTGTAAATGTCCTCTAATTGAATACAATAAACTGTCACAGGAACAAAACTTTTCACTTTATAAAGAATAAAATGGCGCTTTCCTATCTTGACACACGCGGGTCAGGTTAGAGCGATAAGATTTCACAATAGTTGTCACAGTGCACTCTAGAAACGTTAAAGAACATGTCAAATGAATGACTTGTTTCAATCATACAATATCCACAATATCTGTTATTGTAACTTCCAGGGTTTGTTCATGTTACATGACTTGTTTTAAAACCACTTGGTGATTCTGTCAGCGTCTAAATTTTGTTCAACATGCACATATATATTTACGCTTCAAACGCAAAATATATAGAATTTATACAGAAATACAGGGTTGGGCTTTATAAAATGTCGTTCTAGCGTGATTGGAGTACATAGGATCATTTTAATATTCTTGTAATTAATTTGTCTGAGTATTCCTTTAAAGGACAAATGTAAAATAAAAAACATTACAATAATAAAATTTATGTATCATGTCGAAAATAAAGATTTACTTATTTTAGATTTACCCCACTTATTTTTATCACACTTAATCGGAAAATAATGCCTATAAACTGATGCTATATCTAATATGATAACGTAAATAGCTTGTCCGTTACAGTGAATTTAAAAACCTTGGTTACGCACACCCGGTGCAGTGCGTAAATTTGCGCTGACATCAGGCGCTTTATGACTCTTATATATTACAATTTGACACATTTAGATGCAAACATCACTTGTTAAAATATCCTCGCGTTAAAAGTATATCGTCGGAATTTCTCGAAAATCGATCTAAAGGAAACGTATGTAAAAAGTAAGGCAAGAAACTGTTTAAAAGTAGAAACGATGATGGATATCAAGTTCTAGGAATAGTTTTTATTAGCATAAGCGATAAAGAAATGGTGTTAGAGAAATGGAGAATAAAATAAGGGAGAAGCAGAAATTAGAAATTTTCAAGGACGTTGGTGACATCAATCGCCGAGACGTTGAAACAGACAGTCGATTGACTGTGGACATTGTCATAGCTAAGGGACGATGCAGTCATCTCTAACTAATGATTTTAAAATAATAATTGTTAATGCATTAACTACATATATAATATTCTTGGATAAAAATAGTGTGTATATTATTTCATTTCTTTACGTAGTAGTTTTATGGTGAAATTGTGTCAACAATATAACAGTCACGGTTCAAAACCGGCTATACGTTTTATCTATTTTAAAATATTGACACTTTTGTTCTTAGTTAGTTGTATTGTTCTTTTGTTTTCTCGTATGTATGATATATTATCATTCAGGTAATTATATTATGTAAAACAAAATATAGCTATTGCATGTGAGCTTTGTCCAGCAATCAATTTACAGAAAATGACAGAAGTTTGCTCATTACAGGAACTCTTTAGCATCATCAATCTATTACAATGCAATATAATACCGACTTGAACATATATATATCGCGGTGGATCCACTGCCTCTATATGTATGATCAACAGCAACAAGATGTGGAACACGTATTGGCCTACTTCATGAATGAGTAAAAAGCTGCTCCGTTAAAGACAATACGCTGGTGACATTGTTAACGTCAACTTTTAAAGTTTTACCGTGGGCCGCATTGCTTTACATGTACACGCCAATAACATCATAACTTTTTTATTTGTTAATATTTCTTGTTGGTAATTTTTAATCATTTAGGGGAAAGATTCCAATTTATGTCTTTTGTGGTTTTTTTTATGTTAATGCTTTAAACAGGTAAAGAATCATCTACAAAGTCCGGTTAATTTTTGATCATCCTTCGTGTATCAACGACTCCTTGACCTTAGTACAATGTCTAGACCTTATTTGATAGTCAACACGAGTGAGAGAAGAAAGCCGAGCACTCGGAATCTTCAAATTTATTTTAATCTAATTGCCAACAAGAAGCAATAATGTGCTTCAGAACAAAAGCGACTTGTAATCAGTTAATAACGTTTGTTACATTGATAATATGCACAAATCTATCTTAATAATCATTCCCATCCAAATTTGACTGAGTAATAACTTTAATTGAAAAATACCGAGGCGTCAATCACTATTAATATAATATTTGGTTCGAATCCTACCTATGCCTAGAGAGAAAAGTAAGCCGCCTTCTTCAAGTTCTATTTCTCATAAATAATGGCAAATATTTCCATTGTGCGCTATTGTGTCGTGTCAGTCAGTCCGTTCGTGTCCGCCCTTTAAATCCTATACCCTTGCAGTATTTTCTTCAAAATTCAAATACTTACCAAAACAAGGCATTGTGCAGAACCTGTGTACATGTAGCTGCTTTGCACGTTCAATATCACTATTGAAGGTCAACTGTCTGACGATTTTGTGTTGCTTTCTGTATGAATCCCCTACCATTTGATAGATCAAATGACTTTTCTTAAACTTAAATCCAATGTTTTCTTTGAAAAATAATACACAATAATGTAGAGATTCGTAAATGTATTTCGTGGACGCTTGCCAACGTAAACAATAAAACATAAAATCCATTTTATGTCATTGTAAAATATACATCTGATATTATATAAGATATTTATAGTTTATACGTTGCCTTCAACATTGGATTTAATCATTTGAGCATTTGCCAATATAGTATGTTTACAAACTTTGATGTATTATGTTGGCTCATAACATTTTAATAAGGTATTCAAACGAACATGGTATACGAAACTATGATTTATTTTTCAGGATATATTAAATAATGGTGGGGGACTGTGTTAAATCATCAATATTAAATTAAATTAAAATGCATGTGTAAGGCGAAACATTATACGAGTACATTTTATTCAGCAGAAATTTGAAAAGGTAGGTTTATATTTTTTATTTTTCAGTTTGTTATAAAATTGGTCTAAAACACAGATACTTTTTCGTAAAATATATAGATACAGCATAATTATGATTTATTACAAACATCTCACAAAACCTTTGTATATGGACAAATAAATGTACATCATTTTACATTTGAGTGTTTCTTTTTCAGCCAAAATAAGAATTGCACTATTGACACATTTAGTTACTGATAACAATCAAGTGTCAGTTGAAAGTTTAAAACACTTTATACAATTTGAATAATATTGTTTTGTCTTGTGATCAATCATGTATTTGATTTTTGTCATCAGGTGATGCAGTTTACATGGAGAGTTGTACATGGAAACATTGTACTGTGCAACAAATAATCAACGATATCATATTATAATTAACAATGTCAGCAGCACAAGTGTTCGCTGAATAACGAAAATGATTTAGTAAAAAATAAGTAAAGCCAAATTGTAAGGCATTTAATACACATGAACAGATCTCTAAACTATAAAATGAATAAAACGGTACTTGAAACGCTCATATCAGAAACACATGGACAGTTTCAACACAATTTATGTAGAAACATCGTTCCAGAACCAACCAATGCCTACATTTGTCCAATTCCTTACGATCACGACTATACTTTACCTATTTGTAAAGTTGTTAACAATGAAACATTACCAGCTCCTGCTATAACAATAAATGATTCAAATATTTTTGATGTTGATAATCTGTCGTCAAAAGTTCCCTCTGAAGTTCAATATGAAAGTTATAAGGATCATGATAAAAGGCTGTTGACGTTCCAAAATTGGGGAGGACGGAAACCAGATGCAAAGTCTCTAAACCAAGCTGGATTCTTTTACACTGGTAACATGTTAATAAATATAGTGTTTTTTTTTGTTTCCAATAAGAAACTTTAAAGAAAGTTAAATCTATAGTTTCCGATAGTATTTAAACAATGATATAATAATTTGTACATACCATGATAAATTTATTTCTATTCAACGGTCCACATGTTTTAGAAATGTAAAAACATTTTTAGCTCGACTTTTTTTTTTGAAAAAAAAAAAAAAAAAAAAAATGAGTAGAGGTATTGTTATAGTCCTGGTGGCGTTGCCGTTGCCGTCCGAAAACTTGTACATGGATTATAACTTTTTTAAGTTCTTGGTGTATTTTCTTTATACTTGGCCACAACAACCCTTGGGACAATACCTTGCAGTAAACTATACTAACATTGACCTTCATCTATAAATGACCTTGATTTTCAAGGTCAAATGTCCAAATTGTGCTTGTTCTTGCTATAATTGACTATAACTTTGTTATTTTTAAATTGATTGTCTTCAAACTTGACCATAATAATCTTCAAGGATATCCCTTTAAATAAATCAGACTAACTTTGACCTTCACCCATGAATGACCTTGACTTTGAAGGTGAATTTTTTTATTTTTTTTTGCTGTATCTGGCTGGAACTTTGTCATTATTGAATGCATTGACTTCATATTACAACAGAACATTCTTAAGGACAAGACCTTTATGTATATTAATCTCAAAAATGACCTTGGCCCTTTTATGACCTTGACCTTCAACGTTAAATTATTGAATTTTCACTGATTTGTGCATTAATATATATAATTGCGTCTATATATAAATATGTATACATATCTATTTTTCTTCTGTAATACACATGCGGATATATATTGAAAGGATTTATACTTTGACAAAACTAATGTGACAAGACAGACCTGTTAAAATTATAAAAAGGAAATACAAGATTTGTTCAAATGTTTCTTTGTTTGTTTTTAGAAAAAGTAAAAAGTCGAGCGTTGCCCCCGCCCGGCGGTGGCTCTTGTCTAAAAGCAATTTTAGTTATAAGCTCGTACAATGTAAATTTCTTCCCTATAGTGCACTTATTTCAATTACAATAAAAAACTAAAGCAAGTCTCTTTACTACAGGCGTTGGAGACACGATCCGCTGCTTCACGTGTGGCATTAATATTAAAGACTTTGCTGAAGATATGAAACCAATCAAGGAACATATTAGACATTCTGACCAGTGCCCATATCTGCTGATTCTTCTCGGTGAAACTAGGCTTGAAGAATGTAAGGTAAATGTCAAATGCAATGAATCTATCAAACTGATTTATTATTAGTTGAACTACGTAAATCAAAATGAAATATACAACATGCATTATTTTCTTTATTCAATAATTCAATATTTTAAAGACTTTTTGACAAAATCACATTTAAATAGCATCTTATATATGTAAACCTATTTTATTTAGCAATTAGAACCGGAAAAACATTTCAATCGCAGTGCCTTGTACGTACTGAACCTGTTGGGGCTCAGATTAGTTTTTGTTCACTGCTTACTTTCCATTCCCTCCATATTCCAATGGTAGCACTTCCTTCCGTGTTTCTCAATATGATTTACAGTTTAAAATAGTGATAGCATTAAACATTGTATGTATTCATATTGTTTGATAATTTCCATTTCTTCTCCATCTTCCCTTTTTGTCCGCGTTTTGTGCGATGCATTCCGAGTCCATTCCGGTGTTAAGAAATGTATTCTTGCTAGAACGTACTTTTTCTGCATCTTCACTTACAGAAACACCTTCGTACCCACGATAGTGAATACAAAAAAAGAGTCACAAACTCTAGGTAGGTTTGCTACTGTATTCAGGTACGTATATTAATATACGTACCTGCTGTATTGAAAATTTGTATTTCAATGTATTCAACGTGTTTCTTTTTTCACTTAACAGTTTATCTCCTTACTTTTATTTTGTTCAAGCTTTGTTTTTTTAATTTTGTTGTCTTGAAAAACTTATCAGTCTTCTAAGATGCAATATATTACTTGTTTGTTTTATATCTGAAAATAGGTTTCGTTGCACACAATCGTTTCAAAAAAAAAACTATGCGCATAAGGCATTGTGTCTGATAATGATGTTATTACTTTTTACATGAATACTAGTATATGAATAAAAAGTTCTTAACATTTTACATTTCATTTCATTGTAAAGAAACAAAGCAAAAAATTTTGTCATCCTTTTTTCCCCAAATTTGGAAGCTCAAAATTTTCTTCTTTTGCAATTTGGGCGTCTAAATTAAATTTTCTTTAGTTCCAAATTCGGGATTTTTTTTTTCCCAGGTTCTTTTTTTTTTTTTTAAAAAATCACTTTTTAAAACGTTTTTAATTTTTTACAATTTTTTGTTTTAACTTATTTTTAGAAATATGTTATTTCCAAAATTTTATTTTGACTTTTTAATATCTTTTCTTTACAAAAATTTTCAATACATCTGGAAATCCATTTAAAAAACCCAATTTAAAATACTTTATAGACTTCCTTATTAATTATTTAAATTCTTTTTTTTTTTATTTTTTCGGGTTTTGAAGTGGGGTTTGCGTTGTTTTGCTTGCATGGCCGTTTCCAAAAAGTTAAAAAAAAATTGTCAAATTGAAAAAGGGTTTAAAGCCCACTGCTATTTTTTCCCCGGGACGGTCCAAAATTAAGGGAAAATAAAAGAATCGGCAACGTTTCATCAAAAATAATTCGGGAAAAAAATTAATATTTTTACAGCTGGGGTTTGGTATTTAATCATTTAAAAAGAAAAAAAATGGTACTTTTAAATTTAAATTTTTTTATTCTCAAATTTTTTTAACAGGGTTAAAATAATGGGCATATAACCTACCAAAGCCTTGTAATTTTGAAAAAAATACAGCAAAAACCCTTTTTTAGGCCCAAAATAAATTCATAAAATGAAAAGCAGTCGTGTAAATAAAGGGTTTTAACCCAATAAAAAGAAAATTGTAAAACATGCTATAATAAAATAAATTATTTCCCCGTTAGGGAAAACATAAAACAAAAAAACACAATAATTTTATTTTTATTTAGCGGGTTTTAATTGCAAGGGAACTTTATTATTTTCCCAACAAACTTAAATTGCTAAAATACATTTTTTCTAGGAAAATGAAAAAAACGGGTTGGGGAAAGGGAAAGTAAAGTCTTTTGACGTTGGAAAAAATTTTCAAAGAGCTTTTAAGAAATTTTTTTGGATGAATTTAAAATTACAAATCCCTTGTTAAAAAAATTTGTTTAAAAGGGGAAGCCCGTTTGGGTTTTTAGGAAATTAAATGTTTTAAAAAATTTTTTCCCAAAACCCTTTATAAAAATGAAACATTTTGGGACATTTTTGGGGCTACGGAAAGGAAGAAAATTCTAATGTTTTTGGGTTTATCCCTTAAAGGGCCCAAAAATTTTAAATTTTTGGGTTCATTTTTATAAAAATCGGGTACATATGGTTTCATACTTTCATCAGTGGTAGGGTTTTTAAAGGGTTCTTTGTTTAAATTTGGGTTTTTTAAAATTTAAATATCAACAAAATTTTTCTTTAATAGGATTTTTTCAAGGGTTTGGTCCAATTTTGATGTTTAAAAACGGGATCAATCAAAGATTCCCCCCCGGGTTTAAAGCTGGAAAGAAAAAACTAACGGGTAATAAATTTAACTGGTTTATCACTTGCCCGTTTAAAATTTTGAAGTTTAAAAAGGGGAAAATTTATTCTTGGGCTTTTATTTTATTACCTTTTTTAATTTTATAATTTTAAATTTCATAAGCCCGAAAAATATCAGTTTATTTTTTTGCAATTTTTTAATTTTTTTTTCTCAAAAAAGGTTAATACTTATATTTTGAAATGTTTCTGAAAAAAAACTTGAAGCTTTTTACTGAAATCGTAAAATTTAATTTTTGGTCAATTTTTAAATTTTATTTTTTTTCCCTTTTTTTTTGGGCAGTTATCGTCAAATGAAAATTTGGAAACATTGAAAAAAAGGGTTTTCTTTTTTAAAGTAAAAAATTGTAAAGAACAAAGTTTTGCTTTGATCCTCCCCATGTAGGCATCCCCTTTATTGTATGGTTTGTGAAAAATTTCCAGAGATGCCCAAAAAGTGGGGTCCATCAAAAAAAAAGTGAAATAAATTATAAGTTAAAACGAGCAAACAAATCGTTTGTGAAAAAATTTTTTCGGAAACTTTGAAAAAATTTAAACCCTATTGAATAAGATGGGTCCCTTTTTTTAAAAAAAGGTTTTTAATATTTTTATTTTTAAACAAAATACAGAATTTTTTTTAAAAACTTTCCCTTTGAGGCCTGTTCGTGCAGGACCGAACATTTGAGGGCTTTCTTTTTCAGACTGCCCCGGCAATTATACTTTAAAAATCAAAAAATATACGTTGTATTTCCCTATCCCAAACTTCTTTTAAAAAAAAATTAAATATAATTTTTAAAAAATTTGTTGTAAAATTTCCCCCGCTTTCCCAAAAACCCAAACGTAATCGTTTGCGACCAGCATGGATCCAGACCACCCGGGCCCACCCGGGCGCAATTGGATCAGGATCCATGCTGTTCACTTACAAACCTTTTTAAAATTTAAAAACTGATACCCAAACACAGGGTTTTCCTGACCCAAAAACTGGGGGATGCGCAGGTTGGTCGGGTCCAGGGGGTCCCCAAAACCCAAAACTATGGGGGTTTTTCATGACGGGGTTTTCTTTATAAGGTTTAAAGAAATTGCACAATTTTTTTTAAATCTTTGTCTTTTTTAACGAGCCCATTTTGTCACGGACACTTTTAAAAAAGCCCATGGGGTATTTTGGGGTTTGTTTTCTTTAAACACTTGTTCGGGCCCATTCACCTGATAAAAAGGATTTTTTCCCGGGGTAAAAAGGTTACATTTTAAATTTAAATTCCCGCCCAAAAATTAAGTTTTAGGGGCCAAAAAAAAATTTTTTTTAAAAGGGGTTTAAATAAAAACTTAATTTGGGGGCAAAAGTTTGTTTGGGGGGTTTAAAAGATCGAAAACACGCTTCAAAGAAATAATTCCAAACGTCAAATCAGTGAGAACGTCCGTCCATTTGTCTGTTCGTTAGTCGTATCGATTTCCGCTCAATTACTTAAGACAATTAAATGTTTTGTAGGAAAAAATGTCTTAACCAGTGGACGGCCACTATTAATTAAGCGTTAAAAAGGTCAAATGTCAAGTACATAAACGTCAAGTTAAAATGGTCGCTAAAAATACTAGGTATGTGAATAAAGAATAAAAATCATTAATTATTCTTTTCCAAATCAAATAATTATTCAACATTCTCAAAGTTTATATAAATTTTTCAAATTGTCATAAAATTTTACTTGTTAGCTCCCCTAGCGTACGGCAGTAAAATTAAATAAATACACAATATGAAATCAAATAATTTTGGTTATACTCCTATGTTGCTGTTTTATTGTTATAAGTTAAACCAGTAAGTTTTGAATAAATTAATTTATTGTGTTTAAATGAAAAAAAGGTAGTATCTTTATTTTAAAAATTTTAAAAAATTTTATCCCAATAAAATTAAACCCCATAAACATTGTTTTGGGCTCAAACGTGCAAAAAAAACTTGTTTTAAAAAAATTTTTACTATTAAGTAGGGTTTTTTTTTTAAAATTAAAAAACAAGTACCCCAAATTCAATATTAAATATCTTTCTTCATGTTAAATGTAAAAAAAAATTAATAAATTTCCCACCAAATTTAGTTGACCAAAAAAAATTTAAAATGGGGAGGACTGACATTTTATAAAAATTTTTGACTCCCGTTAGGGCCTGCGTTTTTAACTGTTTTTCCCGGGGGAATCGCATGTCTATTTTAAACTTTAACCCTCCCTTTTTTATGATAATAGTTTTTCCATTCAGATCATATACCGCACAAAGTTTGTTAAAACATGTATCCGGTAATTTTAAAATCTTATGTAGTCGAAATAGAACGAAGAATAAAAACATAAATCAAATGCGATTACACACCGGTTTGTATTTAACACGATAGATTTGATATACTTTCTTGAAATCATTTAAAATTATTGTAATAGAAATTCATTGACTACACTTGTGTTATTGTTTATTACACCGTGCAACAACAAAAATATTTTTTTACATCCATATAACTCACATAAAATCTAAAACCAGTTCTTAATGTAAAATGTAATTAAATTAAGAAAAGGGCGGTGTAATCTTCATGCAGGATATAATCAATGTCACGATGACATCACGTGGGTAATTGTCCGTCACGTATCAATCACATAGACAGATAAATGGAGTGAAAAAATAGTTGTTCAAGTGACAAAGTGATTTATTATATTTATCATTAAAGGCACATTATGCCTCAGACACGAATACTTGTTTTAATTCTTTAAAAGAAGAACATGTTTTTAGACAAATGTTAGACGTTTGTTACCTTACAAAATAAGCTAAAAGAAGCGATGAATGTGAAATAATTTGTCATAAATGTAGCAAAATCTAAACAAAGTAGTATTTTTACTTCCATACAAAATACTAATTCTCTATAACTGTACTTAAAGTCAAACAGCAACAGATGAAAAAGACGACTACGGTAATTGGCCAATGAGTAACTTTTGGATACTATATAAGTACACTTTTTAAATTAAAATCTTTTGAGAAATAAAAAAAAGCATTTCTTAAGCATAATGGGCCTTTAAATAAAACTTATAAAAGCGTTCATAACGTATTTAAGAAATAAATCAGCCTGTTGAAATATTTCATTGTATTCAACATTTTTATCAAGGAGTAAAATGTACATGTATATATTTATCTCCTATGTTGCTTACTATATGTTGTTTATTATATGTCAAATATCTTTTGTTCTTTAATAACAGTACAGACAATATGTTTTGTAAGTGAAGTTTTATAATACAAATTAGAAAAGAAATTTATGTTGCCTTATAAAGATATATTGATTATAAAATTTTGAACCGCCGCGTTGTCTTTGTGGTGCGGTACAACGTACCTTGTTGTAAAATGTGAAAATAAGTTGAACAAAAAAAAAAAGTAACTGAGCATTTTATGTTTTTAGCCACAGAAAGCATTAGTACACAACAAGGTTAATGCTCAATTTGGTTGGGCATTCAAATCTTCAGAAACACTGAGGCGCATTTTAACCACAAGCCCGTTGGCAGAGGGATGTAATAAATCCGACATCGTATTCTTGCTTAAAAGTACACATCTGCGTTTCTTAGCTGTTTTTTTTCGTATAAAGAAATCGGATTTGTCATACCTTTCACGTGCTTCTGCAATGGCATTTGAAAATTATATGTTTCAATGATAAAAGTACTGAGGTCGTCATATCAGTAAGGTCACTCATGTTAAAAAAACGCAAAAACGGCGCGCGCTCTTGTTATTTTATCCGTTTTCTGTTTCGTAAAAATATGTTTGCATGCGCAGTTTTAATGCAAAAATTTCCATTAATACTCTATAAGTTTTTAAATGATTGGTTTCAAAATACTAATTTAAGCTCGATTGCGAAATAACTTCTTGCAAATTAAATTGATCATTTTCAAGTACGCTTCCTGGAACCAACCTGTACTGGTATCATATGAGGAAGTATGGTGGTGACACGATGTAGGGCTCCAACCCATGATCCCTGGATTAAGAAGCAGACACCTTAACCACAAGGCCACTGCTCTCCTTAATTGATTGATACGTATATTGAAATCTCAGAATTTAAAGAATCATTAAAAGCGTTTGCATTATATGGGTAACATTCCATAGGTAAATAATGTCTGTTCTTTTATTTTTCTGGAATTGTTTGCTATAACGACAATAATATTGTACCAAAGCGAATTGTGTACTTAACTGACTTGGAAATTTTAATATCATAGGCATTGTAGTACATGAATTACTTTATACTGACCGAAACATTTGCATTGTACTACACAAAAAATTAAACTAAATTAAAGAAAGAAAGAAAAATGTCGATCTAAGTAATCAGGTTATTTAACTTTTTGCATTAATCAAATGGTTCAAACATTCATTTCTTTTTAGAAAAGAAACATACAACAAAAAAGATTTTGCATGTAATGTATTGTATTGATTTTTGCACTATAATTTACAATGGTTTTGTTACAATCAAGATTCATTAAAGTGTGGTGTAACTGATCGATGGGGTAAGAAAACAATGATTTCCCTCTACTTACTTTCTGTGCAAGTGATCCATTTCCTCAAACATTCATAATTTACATTTTTTTTGATCTTACGTTAACGCCGATTTTTAACTTCATACGTAACTACGACCGCTTTGGATACACATCACATTTTCCCATTCTTTTCGCACCCATTTCGTTTGAAGCGGAAAAAATGGATTCTTTAGGAATTCTTATATGTATCTGCGCCTTGATTGGTGCCATTTCTAGTCAAGGTAAGAATTTCACAATTATTAATAATTTTATCTAAGCAATACTAAAGATATTATTTTTTTCCCATCATACGTAATGAAAAAAAAACATACTAAAAGAGTAACCACTGGAATGGCGAGGCAAGTGCCATAGAGTCCATCTATTTGTTAATATATGATGCATATCATTATCATTAAAAAAATATTTTGTTCACGAACTTAATTAAAAATTTTGCAGAATACGCGAAACGACCAGTAGTATAAAACCCAACCCAAACAGAAAACAAACAAACAAATATACAAAACCACAATACTAAAAATAATTGCGTATTACTTTATCGGACTTGGTCGCCAACAACCACCATTTTTTTCAAATATATATCTGTTAGCATGATTTCTCACATTGAAGAAAAGTAGCAAGAAATTAGTATTATTCCGCTTAAATGTAATATTTTACCTTATATAAAACATTGTCGAATACAATAAATTATCAGTTGTTATTGGATTTCATTTTAACATTTTAACTTTTCAATGAAGGAAACCTTTTTTCTAGTATCAAAGGCACATTATCCCTCAGAAAAGATTTTTTTCATTAAAAAAGGACAAACATGAGCTTTATAACATGTAAATAATGGATTTAGAGAATGTAAGATGCTGATCACCTGAAAGAAGCGCTCGATGTAATAGAAGTAGCAGAATGTAAATAAAGTAGTGTTTTGACTTCAATACAAAATACATCACTGTAAAAGTACTAATTGTCAAAAATCAACAAAAGCAAAAGATGTTAAGGCAATTTATCAATCGCTAACCTTTTGGACATTAAAAAATAAACCCTATCGGGAAATTAAAAATAAAAGCATTCCTGAGGCATATATGACCTCTAATAAAAGATAATTAAGATAGTAGGCGCCTTGTATTTTTCTGCTGTATGATTTAACACTATCTATCTATTACTAATTTATATTTTTACTATTCAGGAATGCCAGGTTTTATGGGAGGACCAATGATGGGAGGTCCTGGTGGATTCTTGTCAATGGGCGGTCCGTTTCGACCTAGTTTTACAAGTGGAGGTTTTGGTGGGCCACCAGGATATGGGCCAAGTTTTGGAGGAGGAGCATTTCGCGGAATGAGTGGAATGACAGGTGGGTTTGCAGGATACAGACCTTCAGTGGGAGGTTCAATGATGTATCCAAGCGGTGGAATATCTAGAGGTTTTGGTGGCCCGGGCTTTGGAATGATGAGCCCAGGGTATGGATTTATGGGACCCTCGGCATATGGATCAATGAGCCCGGTACCTGGATCGATGGGTACACCGTTTTCGGGTCCAACTTCAATGGCACCGCCAAGTACTGGTCCTTATTATAGCAGCGGTTTTGGGTTCCCAAGTACATCCGGTGCAGGGCATACAGGAATGGCGTCAGGAGCCGGTGGGATGCCATCAGGATTTGGGTATATATTTTTGTCAAAGCAGCATAGTCATTCGTTGGAAAGTTTGGTTATTAAATAATTTTGAATGCGATCTGAAAGCGTCCGTCTAGACAAGAATCCCGTTTTTTGAACGTACATAAATTGTTTGACGTGTAATTTACATCCCTATGGTAAACCCTAGGCGTTTATAGGTTATTTTTAATACGATTATAATACTTCTTAATCCGCCGATACGATGCCGCATGAATGTCAGTCGCCATTAAGTTGTAGTACACACCCTAAGAACGCACTTAGGTCAGAAATAAACGGCGTTTACTGAAAATAGCAGTTAGGTCACCTTCTCGTCAAGTGTGATAGGGGCATACTAATTAGAAGCAATAATTTAATTTTAAATCTTCTTTAACAAGTCCCATGAGACTAATTATTTTATTTAATTATTTTGAGTTGACATTTCATTGTATTTCTTATCATTTTGGATAAGAGAATATAAACTAGAATATTGTTAAACTTACGAAAACTCATTTATCATTTTGTTTTGATGTTCATATTGTTTCGTGTTTTAACAACGTATTCAATTTACAGTGTCGGAGCAGCTACAATGGGTGGAGGGTCTCGCGGAATGAGTGGTGGAGATGGAGGGATGGGGCACATGTCTGTCGGTGGACCAGGCGGAATGACTGGTGGAGGAAGGATGGGTGTAGACGGGCTTGGAGATATGTCACGTGGAATGAGTTCTATGAGGGGTCCTGACGACACTGCTGGTATAGACAGAAGAATGGGTTCTATGAGTGGCGGTTTTGCTGGTATGGACAGAGGAGTGGGAAGCATGAGAGGAGGACCTGGTGGTATGGGTGGAGGAATGGATCGTATGATGGGTGGTTCCGGTGGTATGGGTGGAGGAATGGATCGTATGATGGGTGGTTCCGGTGGTATGGATGGAGGAATGGATCGTATGAGGGGAGGTTCTGGTGGTATAGGTGGAGGAATGGATCGTTTGAGGGGCGGTCTTGGAGGCATGGATGGAGGAATGGACAGTATGAGGGGCGGTGCCGGAGGCATGGATGGAGGAATGGACCGTATGAGGGGCGGTGCCGGTGGCATGGATGGAGGAATGGATCGTATGATGGGTGGCCCTGGTGGTATGGATGGAGGAATGGATCGTATGAGGGGCGGTCGCGGAGGCATGGATGGAAGGATGGGTGGCCCTGGTGGTATGGATGGAGGAATGGACCGTATGAGGGGCGGTCCAGGTGGTATGGGTGGAGGAATGGATCGTATGAGGGGCGGTCTCGGAGGCATGGATGGAGGAATGGATCGTATGAGGGGCGGTGCCGGAGGCATGGATGGAGGAATGGATCGTATGATGGGTGGCCCTGGTGGCATGGATGGAGGTATGGATCGTATGAGAGGTGGTCCTGGTGGTATGGGTGGTGGAATGGATCGTATGACCGGCGGTCCTGGTGGTATGGGTGGAGGAATGGATCGTATGATGGGTGGCCCTGGTGGTATGGGTGGAGGAATGGATCGTATGATGGGTGGTCCCGGTGGTATGGATGGAGGTATGGATCGTATGAGGGGTGGTCCTCGTGATGGAATGGACCGTATGAGCGGTGGTTCTAGTAGTATTGGTAGTGGACTGGATCCGCTAAGCGGGGGTGTTGGTGGTCCCGGTATTGCGGGATTTACTGGTTCAGACGCAATGAGGGGTGGAATGCATTTAGATTCTGTAAGCAGTGTATTGGGAGCGGGTGGTGATGCTGGCATGGGAATGATGGTTAGAGGCACTGAATCATCGAGAGATAGATCAGGACGTTTTGGCATTTCTGGAGGTGACGGAATGGGATCTATAGGTGGAGGCATTAGTTCTTTTGACTCAACGTCAAGGGCAATGTCCCGAGGATTTGGTTCACCTTAGTTTATCAAATATAAAACAAATCTGGAAGTGTAATCGAACGATGGCAGCCATTATTTCACACATTGTATTAAATGAGAATAATTATTTAAGTGGGAAAGGTTCTTATGTTATACAAATGTATATAACAGATTTGGACGCTGTTCAAGAAACACTTGCAGATACATTTGAACATACAGAAAGCATTTTATAATTAGCATCCATTTTGGTTGCGAATTTACTTTTTTAGTTAACCATATTACAAGCTTGTGAATACTTATTATGATAATACTAGATTATTCTAAGATGCATGAACTTTTATTCTTTCGCGTTTTATGTTTTTTCTATACAAACACGTTTCTTTTACAATTGTAGACGCAATGCAGTTACATTTTGAAAATAGCCAGTGTTAATTTTACGCGTGTGATTGATAGAATGGAGATATACATTAATTAATATATGAGCCGCGTCACGACAAAACCAACGTAATGGGTTTGCGACCAGCATGGATCCAGACCAGCCTGCGCATCCGCACAGTCTGATCAGGATCCATGCTGTTCGCTTACAGACCCTATAACAAGTAAAGAAACTGATAGCTGGTCTGGTCTGGATCCATGACATCAACCATAATCTTGTTTAACAGACTTTTAAAGAGTTTGATATATACGATTTTTACATATTGTGTTGTACATAAGATAAGTTGAAAACAAAAGCACATTTCTAAATTTTATCCCACTGTATTCCCGCTACGTAGGGCCACAAGTACGAAAATACGACAAAGTTATTTTGTGTGTATTTGCCTGGCGCCCTGATGAGCAAATGTACGACAAAATGATCTAAGTCATAATGTTGTTATATTTTAGTGTTCTTATTGTTATACCTTGCGTATTGATTCTATATAAGTAAAAATCACTGTTTGTTAAAACATTTTCATGGATTTATTTTATTCGATCATTTCTAAATTGCTTAACGAGAAATACCTAGCGTGCAACAATGTTGCTTAACTGTTATTGAATGATTTTAAATCTTTTATTTTACGATTTGCTTAGATTTGTTTGGTGTATTTAGGTGAACTTTGTTTTTTGGTAAACTAATCTGTTTAAACATCTAAGTTGAAGATGGATGTTTGTGAAGTTGTCATTTGTTTACTGTCTCTGTTATTGTTATGTCTCCTACAGAATAAATACGTATCGTGTCCTTCAAAACTTTGTTGTTTTGTTTTTTTTAAATGTTTTTTTTTTCAGTTTATATTGGTGTCTTAAAGGCACATCAAGCCTCAGAAATCCATATTTTTTGTATTCTTTAGAAAATTTCAAACATGTTCACTAATGTTTTAATTATGAATTAAGAGCATGTTAGGTGTTTAACAACTGACGGAAGTAGGTTACACATACAGTAATGCGTCGTAAAGATAGCAAATTGTATACAAAATGTTCTTTATGTGACTTCCAAACAAAATACTAATTCACTTTAATTATTTTAAAAGTACCAACAGACCAAAAGAAGCAAAAGATAGTTCATCTATATATGGCAGATGCATTTTCCTAAAAACTGTAACAAGATACAAAAAATAAAAGGATGTTAAGTAATAAAAATGATAGCAGTTCTGAGGCATAATGGGCCTTTAATGATTCGAACTCAAATAAATGCGTAACAGCACAAGGTTTAAAAGCGGCCATAATGGTCATTAAAATTAGCTTTGTACAAGAAAACACATTTCAAACTAAACCCTCAGGTATGACAGTAAGTTCGAGTGCAGTGACATAGTTTTGCACGACAGTACTTTTGCCATGTATTTCACAACTGTGTAAGGTTTAGAAATATCATACTTTTCTCTTATTTAAATCGGTGTACCTTAAATTCGTCAAAGTTTTCATAAATAAAGTGAGTGATGAGAACTGTCTATTTGACATGCTCTGCTAATCACAAAAAGAGAAAATCTATGTGTCAATGTACTTGTAGTCTTTTTTTGTTGACAGATCAATCATATGAAATCACACCATTAAAGTAGGTCTATTTAGGTTAAACAGCCAACCATTAGATTTTGATGAATTATATAAATGATATTTGAGCCGCGTCACGACAAAACCAACATAGTGCGTTTGCGACCAGCATGGATCCAGACCAGCTTGCGCATCCGCGCAGTCTGATCAGGATCCATGCTGTTCGCTATCAGTTTCTCTACTTGTTATATGGGTTATAGGGTTTGTAAGCGAAAAGCATGGATCCTGATCAGACTGCGCGGATGCGCAGGCTGGTCTTGATCCATGCTGGTCGCAAACCCATCACCCATGGTTTTGTCATAACGCGGCTAATTTAATTGTTGTTGAACATTGTGCTGTATTCTATTGTGCGTTGTTTCTCTGTAAACAAAAGAATACACTAATGAAATATACTTCTTTTAAAATCGTTTAAGACTGGGTCTCTAAATGGAAAAAATCGAAAAAGTGAAACGCACCTGTAATTAGTACATGTATATCACTAGTTTTTGACGGGTTATACTACCATATATATATGCTTGTTTGTTAATATAGCGGCGAGGGTTATATTGCAAAAAACCGAAACAACAGGCCATATATCCATTCAGAAATACATATTTATAACGAATTTATAATACAACAAGCAATTAATAAATAAAATTATTTCTGACAGGCTATATGGCCGTATATAAACTGATCGGTTTATATTTCCAAACAACCGTTTATATAGGGCCATATAACCTGTCAAAAATCTTTATAACTAATAATATAAACGTCAAGATTTTCCAATGAAAAGCAAAGTTACGAAAGTGCGGTTTTATATACACGTATTGAAAGGTGCTATATCCTGTCAACAGACCATCGAGACTACCTACAACAACATTCTTACGACGCTAAACAAATATTTACATCAAATAAATGAAACATATCAAAAACAAGTAAGTGTAAAATAATAAGTAATTATATGATGGAGACCCCCCCCCCCAAAAAAAAAAAATAAATAAATAAATAAACAAGACAACAACAAAAAACTAAACGAAAAGGTATTATTATTATATTATATTATATTACATTATATTTATTCTGAAAATTCAAGAAACCCAAGTACTTACACTGAAACGTTGGTTATCAATTATTTAATTTTTGTAAAAAAATTGGACTTGTCACGTGAAACGATTCTGAAAGAACATGCATTTATCTTTCCACCCTTTCTTTAAATTTTGTCAATAAGATGGCATAGTTTATCTATTTCAAATAATCTTGAGGCATACAACAGAATACAACGGAAACAGCAGTGTAAACTAAAACACTTTTATAAGTTTTAGTTACCTCCCTTAGTTTTCGCAAATCAGAACTGGACTAGACCGGGAAAAATATAAAAAAGAATGAAAATGTATCTGAATGTGTACTATTAAACTGATTTTAATATGTTTGCTTTCATTGAAAATAAGCGTGATTTCGTACCTTAAAATCTTTTCATATGTATCAGCGTGCATACACGCTTTTGAATTTCAAACACTATTTATAGAACTTACATCTTAAAAGATTATTGATTTTCAAAGTTTATTTATTAACTTTAATATCTACTTTTACGATTTGATGATGATGTACAACAAAAAATGAAAACATGTCTTTGTGTATTCGCTTTACCATATCGATCTGTGTACTATAACTTAAATAGAATTTTTTCAACCATTCAAAAGATTAGTTGAATTTGGTTTATATCAGCGTTTCATTATAAATATTAAAGGACAGTATGTGACCGATATATAAACGTTAAAAAATGGATGTTTACATCATATGCCTTAACGCAATATAATGGGTTCTAATGCATCAACACAAAGGAAGGTAAATACAGTTGTCAAAACTTTTTTTCACTAATATTTAAACATAATAGCTAAGAAAAACCGGTGCATTTACATTGTTAGTTTGATGTTTTTTCAGACGCGTTGAATGATTATGATGAATTTCAGACGCGTTGAATGGTTCTGATAAATTTCATCACGATGATGAATTTCAGGCGCGTCAAATGGTTATGATGAATTTCAGGCGCATTGAATGATTATGATGAATTTCAGACGGGTTGAATTGTCTTGATGAATTTCAAACGCCTTGAATGGCTATGATGAGTTTCAGACGCGTTAAATGATAATGATGAATTTAAGACGCGTTGAATGGTTATGATGAATTTAAGACGCGTTGAATGGTTATGATGAATTTAAGACGCGTTGAATGGTTATGATGAGTTTCAGATGCGTTGAATGAGTATGATGAGTTTCAGACGCGTTGAATGATTATGATGAATTTCAGACGCGTTGAATGAGTATGATGAATTTCAAACGCGTTGAATAGTTATGATGAATTCAGACGCGTTAAATGGTTATGAAGAATTTCAGACGCGTCTACATTGTCAAAGACAAAAAAAGACGTTTATTACATTCGTTTGAAGCGAGATTGATTATAAAAACAATATAATTTAATTCATATTATGACAATTGCAGCGTTAAGTATATATTTTAGGTTTTAAATTCATACATGCTTATCTAAGTTTTATATATCTATCCATCACTTACTCAATACATGTAACATGTAAAATAATTAGAAAACAATTATTTATTAATTTCTGTTAACAAACGAGTACATTGTATTATATTTGACATACGAGGGACGGTCAGAAAATATCCGGACTTTTCATGCTCCTCTCTTTCCACGTGCAGCTATATACATACATTATATATTGGTGAAAACTACATCCATTCGCCAATAACGTGGTCAGTTTATTTTCAATGATAGTCGTGTATACACAGTATTTTGCCCTCTGATATATGATAGGTGTTTCGTCTATCATGGACTCTTTGTTAGAGGAATTACGCTGTGTAATATAGTTTCTGGTTGCAGAAGGTGAAAAGCCCTGCAACATCTTTCAATGGCTTAAAAAAAGATTTTCTGATAAATGTGTATCACGTTTAACCTTCTACAACTGGGCTTCTCTGTTTCGTGAAGGCAGAACAAGTGTTTGTGACAGGCCTAGGACTGGGCGGCCAGCTGAGGCGGTGACCCCAACAATGGTAGCAAATGTTAAAGCTTTTGTCAACAAAAATCGTCGAGTAATTTTGGAGGAGGTAGCCAACAAGTTTAGCATCAGTAAGGCATCGGCACACAAGATTTTACACGAACACCTAGGCATGAGCAAGGTAAGTGCGGTAGGCAGCTGTCCGCAGATCAAAAGGCAACCAGAGTAACCAATGCAAAAGAACATTTAAGTCGTTTTAATCGTGAAGGAGATAAGTTTTTAAACCGCCTTATCACTGGAGATGAGATGTGGGTTCATTATTCCGAACCTGAGACAAAAGCTCAATCAAAGCAGTGGAAACGAGCTGGTTCCCCACCTCCTCAAAAGTTTAAGCTGTCTCCTTCGGCTGGCAAAGTCATGCTTGTTGCCTTATGGGATTCACGAGGAATGATACTTACTCATTGCATGCCAAAAGGTCAAACTGTCACCGCCAAGTACTATTCTGAAGTAATTCTGAAAAATCTCAGAGAAAAGCTGAAGCAAATACGTCCCAGGTTAGCACAGAAAAATGTCATCCTTCTTCACGATAACGCCCCCTCCCATACCGCCGCAGCTACAGTGGAGGTTATAAACTCTTACAAATGGAAATTGTTGTCTCACCCTCCTTATAGCCCAGACCTCGCCCCCTGTGACATTTATTTGTTTCCAGAACTGAAAAAATTGCTTGCTGAAAAGAAATATAAGACCAGGGCGGCTTTGATATCTGCTGTTACAAAGTACCTAAAACATAGGTGTACGTCATGGTTCACAGCGGGAATACAAAAGCTCCCACGAAGATGGCAAAAGTGCGTAGACGTCGGTGGAGAATATTTTGAAAAAGAGTAGAATTTTTTTTTAAAGTGTTGAAGGGGTTTCGAGAACAAGTCAAAAGTCCGGGTATTTTATGACTTAGAATCATTTTTTTTTCACCCCTTTTACATTTTATAGTATGGATACAGTACAGTCCCATAGAATTTACGTAAAATAAAGAGCCTTAAAGATAAAGTACGTACGTGTAATTGCTAACGTCTCCCTTTTTGTTTTGCTATACACAGCCTCCGGTAGGTGGCGCCCCTAAGCAGAAGCCAGCTTTGAAAAACAGTACACTTGGAAGATCTGAAGCAAACGGGCGGCGTTATGATATGGTATTTTGTTATCAGTTTTTATATTCAAATGTAATGCATACAGATCTTGCTCTATAAAAATAAAACAAACAAAAAATGGAGGGAAATGAAGTGCTGTTAATAGATGTTCGTATGTTAGCACGTTACATATATTGCAACGTATATTCTGAATAAAATGATACTTTTTATACACTATACATTTGCAAATATCAACTAAAATAATATATATACGACTACACATGTACAACATAGCTGTTATATCGCGGAATATTCTGCCCCATTACGTAACATGACGTAATGGTTAATAAAGCGTAAATATACCAATGATTAACAAGCAAGCGCTTTCAAAATAATTGATGATAGATACGGAATAAGACGAAGATGGTCGACTTTCCTATGAGTTTATTGACATATAGAGTACATAATGCTCCAATTTGATATTTGAAAATACTGATAATTGCTATACAGTCTTTTTTAGATGTACACACAGAGGAGATATATTACGTTATTAACTTTACACACTATATGTTCACACAGTATGGATACATAGTGACGTTTAAAAAATATGCAGATTTTATTTAAAGAAAGAAACAAAATTAACAAGACAAGTATTTTACACAAGATGAGCAAAGTATATTTCGAAACATTTCTTAAAATTAAACTCACTTTATTTGACTTTAAACATAAATACTCGCTTTCATATATTAAACAGGGTAATGAGCCGTTTGAAACAGAGTTGTATCGCCCAGACAGGCAAGCGATACCTGAAACACTCGCATCTGAAAATGAACGAACGTACCCGGCTACTTTACCGGAACAGCCAGGAGCAAGGACTGTTCCACGAGTTCATTACGAAGAAAAGGAAGACGTTCGGACGAACAGAGATGGTATGATAGGTGACCGGAACGACCCAGGGAGACCAAGTGGTAGGAGGCATGGATGGATGAATGATAGACAATGGCAACAAGGAGATAGATTTATGGTAAAATGTCTCAGATACCTGATTAAGAAAACCATAGAAACAATTATTTGTGTAAATTGCCTAAAAACAGGAGTGTTTTAAAATGAGCAATTAAAAGTTTACTGAAAGAAGTAACAATTAAGAATATGCTCATCTATTAAAGATGTAAACAAGCAATTCATGGCTAACTTAAATAAACAAGAAATTATTTAACTTAGTCGAAGAAATTTATAGTAACTTTTCCAAAGTGTTTCAGTTTTGCATATATTTTTTGATTAAAGGATATAGATGGCGGTGCTTACAGGCGACTCCCGTACGGTACACAAATTCCTTACGACGAGCGATACTATCCGCGTATGCCTAATAGGAGGCCATATCGTCCAGTAGTCCCACACATCTATCCAAGCCGTGCTCTTCCACCACAAATTTACCCTGTACGTCCACGTCGAGCCCCATATGTGCCTCCTTACAACACTCAGATATACCGATCACCAGTGCCTTTTGTCGATGAGCGATATCGCCCTGCGCCTGTCTGCAATGATTCGTCATGTGACCTTCCACAGGCCATTCAACCTGAACAGCCTCCTCCTTACCACGCTATAGAACCAATGGCATACAGGAGTAATCAACAAGAAGAACCAATGTCATATTCCATACCGCTAGTCGACAACTCTGTCCCTTTTCAAAATGACGACGAAAATGGTGGACTAACTGAGAGGTCTCGCATTCCAGAGGAAGATGCCATTGTTGAAAGTGATCCGGATCGTGAAAGTACGTTGAACATTATGTATTACGACTTGTTATTGAACAACTGAATTAGAATTCTAATAAGAACCATATTAAGTTTAAACATATTATATTTATCGGTTGTACAAGCATGTATCATTTTACATCACAATATACATGTATATGTATTGGAAATCAAGAATTACACTTATATTAATTCTTTTCCATGACGAAGTTTCGTCTTCATTATTTCACTTCATATGATCAGTGCATGTTTCAAATTTTAATATTTTTGCAAATTCACAAAATTTCGAAAGAAAAGTATTATTTGGTTTAGACTTTCGATTTATTTTGCTTTTGCCATACTTTACTATAAATAAATAATAAAATACATTTGTGTCTTTAAAATCGAAGGCTCAGCTATCTACGCGTATTCTTATCTACTTACTAATACATACTGTTTGAAATATACATGTTCTATATAAGTTATATGACGGAATATGTCTTTTAGGGATTGTACAAAGTCTTCTGGATTCAAGCATACAACAGATAAACGATCAGAGACCAGCGACAAAAGAATCAACACGAGAGGTAATTCTTAATTGATTTTTATTTATTTATAAACAAAAACTCACGGCCCTTAAGGGCATAAGAGTGAACAATCAAACAATACAACAAATAAAAATACAGACATGACATAGAAGTAAATATAACTTAAGAATATCAGGAAATAGAGAAAAACAGAATCCCTAAAGAAAGTCCAACACAACAAGATTGAAAATGTTGCAGGCTCGGTTTGATTGAGCCTGTTCATGGACGGTACTGGATAGTGCAAGTTACCTTCCACGACCCCAGCACCGGAAGATGATGACTTTATGAAATTTAAGCATTATTGCTTTAACAATCATTGCTGGATTTAAAAAAAGTATTTCTGTTATCAGTACACAATAAAGTCTGAAAATTTAAAATACTAGGAAACCTTGAATAGTAATTACTGATATACTTGTGTCTTTCATGAGTAAAATAACTACGATTGAAATTATAATGGAATTCATCACCTATTTCTTGCTGGTTATAAAGTGAGCAGGTTCGATTTTCCCTTTCAATACCAAAATAGCGATATTTCTCTATAGGGAGATCAGAATTGAGACTTCTAAATTTACAAAGAGTAATTGCTAGATTATTTGATAAACATTGTAAATAAAGTTCTAATTTAAATTGAGTTTTATATATTCTATAATCTAAACACTCAGCAGAATTGAAAACATCACTATTCCATACCACTTAATCGTGAAGTGTATTTAGACCAACCATGTTTTCAACTAAATACTAGTATGCGCTAAAGATTGTGTCATAAGTATCCTATCCAACAATCTGTATACCGTTGCGTCCACAATCTTTTTTTAAAATTATCTTAATTTCATTGCTTTGCCCAAATAGACTTATGACATCAATCTTTGAAATACAAAGTTTAGAGTAATCATGTGCTTGAATTCGACGTGTAGTTCGTTTGCCATTGTTTTAGCTTTCGTAGCAACAAATTATTGTCCCTACTTTACATTTATCAATTTTCCACAAAAGGTGGTCGCATTTGTTGTGAAGCATAAACATATCATGTGCATTAAGTATCTTATATGAGTTTAATTTCATATTAGCTTATATTCTATTCGCTAACATGCAAATTTTAGGCAATATTTCTTGGAAGAATTCAATGCAAGTCTAATATATGAATGTATAAAATGGACACCGCGATATAACGTGAAAATATATGGTCCAAATCACTATTGCGTGGTAGCTATATTTGTGATGAAGATTTATGCAACAATATTTTATTGTTTATTATTTTAGGTAGATGATGATGAATACATTGGTGCAAATCTAAGATTTTATCGCAACCAGATAAGATTCAGACCACATGGTAATTATTTGCATTTATGTCTGTGAAATGTTGTTATTTTAATATTACTTATAAAAAAAAAAATAACGAAGAACTATTTAAAATTGACTGTGATATATTTGAACGCACGGAAAAGAAAAAAGAAGACGTATTGTTGACACACGAGAAAAAGCTTAAATTTCTCATAGAAGCGTCTTTTCAAATTAAAACTTCAATTATTAGTAATAACACTGATGACGAAGAATATAATGATGAGATAGTTGTTACTACAACAAAACAAGATAAGACAACTGCAAAAAACGGTGGTCAAGTAAAACGTGCGAAAAAAGTTCAAAATGTCAAAAGTAAGCCAACAAAAAAAACGCCAACATTTAGATCCATGGATACAAATACGCAGAATACCCGTCAACCCGTGAAGCCTAAAACTTCGATTGAAACATCGTGCCCTTCTTCATCACCGGAAGTAGAAGTTTCAAAAAAACTTACAGGCCCCGGGCACGCGCAAAACCTACGCAGAGGCCATAAAGCACGGGGCGCCCCAAGAAAACAATTCGCTGAAACTCCAGAAAACCCTGGAATTATTAACGAAGATGGTGACGGATCTACTAGCAGTGACTCCAACCGGAAACGCCGGCAGAGACGATTTATCAGAGTGGCAGACAAGAAGACATGGCGGACACTCAAAAGGAGGCTTCAAAAGATACAGAAAGGGAAGCAGACAGTCATGAATTTATCTTCAAAAAAGCTAAGTGACGATGATTTTATTCTTTTAGGAAAGGGTTTAAAGTTCTGCCCTAAAATTAAGTCTCATGATAAAATTAAACTTGCTGAAGATACTTTCATGTTTCAAAGAAGATTAAGACTCAGAGAATTTTTTAACAATTTAAATGAACCTTGTGAAACTAATTCTCAAAGTGATAGTGAAAAAGACGAATATTCCCAACACCCATTTTTCAATAAAAATGAATCGTCATTCACCCCCACCGCTGGAAGAGATGTTTACTTGGACTTTTACATTAATGCTATTACGGAAGAAATATTGCAATCCAGTATCATTAATAAACACAAACGTTATAGTAATATAACCAAGTCTGAAATGGAGTCGCTACGTAAACTGTCACAAGATAAAAGTATAATTATAAAGAAAGCGGACAAATCGAACACTATCGTTATTATGAATACTGACGATTACCGACGGGAAGTTTTACGTCAACTCGAAAACAACAGCTACTATGAAAAATGTACGGAAGATCCTACAGAAATTATTAAATGTAACATATCGGAATGCATTGATAAGATTAAAGAAACAAACGACTGTATTTCAGATGAATTTGATGTATTTCCAACGAACATACGTACACACCGTGTTTTTATATCTTACCTAAAACACACAAATCTCCAGACTTCACACTGCCATTAAAGTATCCGGGTAGACCTATTGTGTCAGGATGTAACTCACCGACAGAAAATATTTCAAAGTATCTCGACTTTATACTTAAACCACATATGCTTAGATTGCCATCATATGTAAAAGACACCACAGATTTCATCAACAAATTACGTAATATTAAACTACAAAGCAAAAACACATATTTGGTAACACTAGATGTCTCTTCACTTTATACTAATATACCACATACGGATGGAACTGATGCGTGTTTGTTTTATTTAAGACAAGGAAATAATAACAGCAGACTTTCGTCAGATGAAATTGTTAAACTTTTGAAACTTATTCTTGAAAATAACTACTTCAAGTTCGGGGATGACTATTTTCTTCAGAAAATGGGTACCGCTATGGGAAGCCCAGTCGCCCCGCGTACGCAGCACTTTTTATGGGGAAATTCGAAGAGGAGTTTTTGAAAGATAGTCAGCTTAAACCGTCATTGTGGCTTCGTTTTCTAGACGATATTTTTTATGCTTTGGGATCATTCTCTTGAAGAACTTAACACATTTATTGACAAAATCAACAATGTTCACCCAAGCATTAAATTCACCACACCATATCTCAACAATCTGTTTCGTTTCTTGATGTTCAAGTATCAAAAGGAAAATCGTACGAACTTCAAACTAATGTTTATGTAAAGGAAACTAACAACCACCAATATCTTGATTATACATCCTGTCATCCAAAACGGTGTAAAGACGGAATACCCCACAGTCAGGCTAAGCGTTACAGGAGAATTATATCCGACGACGACGTGTTCTCTACTTCACTGAGCAAACTACGAGAATTCTTCATAAGTAGAAATTTCCCTGAGACGGTTATAGATTCAGCGTTTCTTCACGTGTCACAGATGTCACAAGAGGATGCCTTACGGCCACAAGATAAAGAAAAGAAAAACGTTCTTCCATTTATTGTGACATATAATCCGTCCTTACCTAATATTGGAAATACTATTCATAAATATTGGGACCTACTAAATCTGTCAAAAAACGAAGGTGTTAAAAATATTCACAATAACTACACACCCATAATTGCCTATAAACGTCCAAGAAACTTACAATACTTTTTAGTTAGATCCAGATTGGATACTGACAGTGACTTTACATCACATTCTGGAGGTTGTTGTAGAAAACGCTGTTCTCATTGTGTTCGTATTAATAGTGGTACGTCATTTTACAGTTCAAATACAGGAGAGATATTCGACTTACGTCAACATACTAACTGTCAAACCAAGAATTGTTATATATTTGATAACATGTAAAAAATGTAGCATGCAGTATGTTGGTCAAACCAAACAACCTGTGTCTAAACGAATGAATAGCCATAAATTTGATATATGCAATTTTGTAGATCCTGCATTCTCCACTAATGTTGCAAATCATTTTAATAAGGACGATCATAATTTTACCGACTTTTCATTTATGCCCATAGATGTTGTTTACAATACTTTAGATCGTTTGTGCAAAGAAACATTTTGGATTCATAAGCTAAAAACTCATTTTCCAGAAGGAATGAACACAAAGTTGTTATACTCAATTAAATAATTCATAAAATATCAATCCACGCTACAAATGCTAGAATTACGCCACATAGATATTCGTTTTTTTCCTATTATCATTTTTTATAATTAAACCCTATAGGAAATATTCGTATTTATTAATCCGATATCTATTGTGTCGTTTTTGTATTTTGATGCTTTGTTTGGTGCACTTATCTCTTTTATCATGAATTGGAATTGTTCGTATTTGTTCGTTTTTCCGCTAAAGTGGGCGTGACGTTAATTGTAAAATTACGACGTCACGTCCGTTGATATTATTATTATTTATTTACCTTGAAAAAGGCATACATTTGCCGAAACGTTGGAAAAATAAAAAATGATATTATACGTGTTATTGCTGTGACTTTATTATTTTAATATTACTTATAAACATTTATTGTAAAATGCGATTTATAAATTTTCGATACCGTGTAACGTACAGTCTCCCCTTACTTCAGGAAACCGAATTGACTAAGTAAATCATCAGACAATTTACAAACATTCAGGAAAAGAGATTTTATATATTATACCGAAAGCAAGTAAAACAAAATATAGAATAAAAGAATCAATACATTATTTGTGTTAATCTTTTGTAAATGAAAGACAGTATAAAGTGCAACATTTCTTACTCCACTTTGCATGGGACCGTTTTTCAGATTACTTTATGAGATAAGCACAGGTATACTACTAATACACATAAGATTTATAGAATATGTAAATGTTACGTATGTATACCGTCGTGTACACAATTTCAATATATTCTTGATATCGAAAACATTTCAGATCAACAATGAACAGTTTCCAGTTAAAAGTCAATTATATTATATAAGTTTTTAAAGATAAGATCTTAAAGATGTATGATATCATAAAAAGAAAGCATTATGTGAAATAAAAATATCGACTAAATTTGTCAGATTAAACTGTCATTTTTTTCCTGCTCAAAATGATTAACTCACCTGTATTTATTTCAGGAGAAAAAATAGATTATATTCATAGATACTGGTTCGGAAACTATACTCTTCTGGAAAATACCCATACCTATATACAGTGGTAGGTTTAGTTTATACCCATAACCATACACCATATTTTATAATATTTTTTTTAAAAAGAGAAAATTGGTACAGAATAACTGGAATCACTTGAAATGTCATTATCTGCAACGTATGACTTACTAGGGAAGTTATGGAGTCCAACATTTGATTTATGTTTGATTCCATCAAGTAATCTTTTAAATCATTCCATTGTAAAATATTTTAAAATGACAATTTTATAAAACTTAAAATATGTCTATATGATAAATAAATACAGATCGGATTTCTTATTTCCGGTCTAAATAATAGTTAACTATTCACAATAAATGCCTTGATTAGCTTTATCATACAAAAATAATACTTATATTACATTATAAAAAGTATTTAAACGGTTACAAAAATGGGCCCTGTCATTAAATTGAGAATAATAATATTGTAATCTTCTTTATATAGGTTGTTTCCGTTGTACGAATCAAGTAGAGTAAACCCAGATGCGGTTCCTTTGAGAGCTCATGAGGCTAAGGTTTGTGTGATTTTTTCCCTAATTACTAAGTCTCTCAATTACGTTTTTGACAACAATAGTAACGTCTTATCATTAGTAACTATTTGTATTATTCCTTTGATGTTATAATTGTCGGTCAATATTCACGATAATTTTTATAAATAATCGCGATTGTTCTTCGAATAATGAGTGTTCACAAATAGTCTCGAGCTCGACGTAAGTCATAAATCACGATTTTTCATCAGTGGTCCAATAGTTATGACTGTTTGTTTATCACGATTGTTCGTAAATGATTACGACTGTGCATAAGTATTACGAGTGTTAGTCAATAGCTAAGATTGTCCGCCAGTTACTACTTTTGTTCTTCAGTAGTAACACTTGCACGCTAATAGTCACGACTGTTTGCCAGTAAAAACGACTGTTTCGTCATTTATAACGAATGTTCGTAAAATATCACGATTGTTTGTAAATAATCCATAATTGTTCGTCAAAATTTACGATATTTGTGAAAAGTCACACATTTTGGGAAATAATCACAATGAAGTGTAATAGTCAACTGTCACGACTGTTCGTAGATAAACACGCTTGTTTGTTTGTGTTCATTAACTATCACCATATGATAATGAAATAAATAATAATTAGATCTATTGATGATAAAAGAAGTTTTTTATTGAAAAAGAATTAAGTCAATTAGTATTAGATTTTAATCTTAATTTTGAATATGAAAGAACAGGTGTCTTATGATGACAATAAAAGTAAGTGAGTCAAATCAATGTGCTTACATTTATTTGGCATTTGAGCGTGGTGGAATCTTACACACAAGACATGTTGAAGGATCAAAATCATTATGAGTCTGGTTACTTTATTGTATTTTTTAGCATATAAGTGATGATGAAGAGACACGTCATAGATTTGTGACGTCATATATGATGATGCTCGACTTTTACGGGTTTTGCATGTCTGATGAAGAAACCGGGAAAATAGAAAGAGGAGCAAATTGGAAAAATAGATTTGAGAATTTACGGCGGTAAGCTACTTCATATATTGTAAAAAAAACTTACATTCATGTGTACGTTTATCCTTTTTTTTATATAAAAAGTAAATTATGATTGATTGATAGCCAAATTGATCATTGCAAAGAACAATGTTCACTAACCATGGATTTAAGCCCAAGATTAAGGCAAATGGAAGTTGGACAAGTCCTTATACGTCAAGAAAAAATGTTGAAGAAATCATTTGAAATAAAATAAATCAATAAGCTTGACCACAATTTATCAGGATAAATGCTTCTTACGTTTCTTTACTATCACACAGGTCGTCTTACAACCAAACAAGAATCACAAGAATTTTGAAAAGTCTTGGAGAATTAGGCCAGTCGAAACTGCAAAGCCCTTTTGTAATAGCACTATTACATGAAGTGTTTGAGACGAAAGAACTATCTGGCATACCACCAGCAACTATACATCACTGGTTACGTGCAATATCTGACGATTTTGAAAGAGATTATGTGTTTAATCAATTTAAAAATGGAATAAATAGACTCGGAGACGAAAGAATGAAGTTGAAGCGGAAGGATAATACAAAATACTATTTTGAAAGACGGAAACCTCTGATGCAGAAAGATGAACAATTTCAGTTTACGACCAGGAAAAAGCCAAAGATATAAGAATGCTTAATATGATATATTAATCTGTTTTGAAATTGTTGGATATGGTTTTATTTCATTAAAAAGTAAATTATATAAATAACTTTAAGCCCTCGAATTAAACGAATGTTGACGGCTGCAGTTTACGTTTCTCATTTGTTCTTCCAAATGTATATGAGATCTGACATGGCCTGAATTATTGAAATTATTATCGTTTTCGTTATATTATCTCATCTTTCAACATTCCTTACGAACAGACTCGATCAGTTGTGGATTTTTTTTTACTTATTGCTATTTTTTTCACTTTATATTGTAATATTCATCTGGTTCAAAAATTGAACTCGGAAATGGTTAAAAACCGCTGTTTATGATGCTTTGGAACTTCAGCTTGCATACTTGTATATAAATAAAGTAATCCTCCTTGGAAAGACGGAAATTAAGTGTCATAACATATTCGAATAACCATTATATCTAAAATTTAGTTCAACTTGACAGCTTAAAATTAGCCTTATTTCAGGACAAAAATCATTCTAAACAACGAAATAAGAACTGTATTGCATTTTAAAACATATCATTAGAAATAAGTTGATGTTGTGTGGAATATCCAATCATTTTACTTTGATGATGCTTTAGTCTTTTTTAAAAAATGATTCGACATTGAGAAAAGAGGTAACTCTGCAATGCATATTTGTAATTCTTGCAGTATGGACGAGGGAGTAACCTCCCTTCAACAATGGTACTTTTAGTTTCTTGTAACTCAGAATAATACATGTACAATGTCCGTACACAATTTATCTTCTAAAATTAGCATTATCTTAATTTGCATGACAAGATGTGACACTTTGTTTGTATTATTGTATCGACACGATTGTATGCAATCTTACTTGATTTCAGTACGGTTGTAATAAGTCATCCGTACAGACTTACATATCTTGTCATAAAAACACAGTTTATTTTTATTTTGTTTTAGTACGGTCGATTACACGTTTAACGCCGTTAATACAAGTAGGTTTTGTTGTTAATTGCGATACTCCTGACTGTACCCGTAGGTAGTTTTGATACAAAAACATAATACGAAGTTGATTAAAGCCCGTCTCACACAGAACACACGGCTTTTACGGTTTCTGGATTCTGTTAGATAAAATTCGGCAATCAGTTTCGGTGGTAACAAAATACAGAAGATAAACATTTTTAAGGATATATATACTAATTCATTAATTCTTTATTTGTTTTGTTTCAAAATATTAAACGTTGAATCTAAAACAAATTCAAGCATTGAACCGCAAAAAGTAAAACTACAAACATAAAAAACATCAATTTATTTCTCAAAACGCTTAAAATGTTCTTTTGCTGGATAACAATTTATTGCACATGGTCTTATTTTGCAAGCGAATCTAATTTTGGGGAATAAAGAATAAAAATAATAAATACTCAAAATGTCTGTGTTTTATTCCCTTTTTAATATCTATTGCAGTTCAGCTCAAATCAAGTCTAAGCGATTTACTTTCTCTACCAGCCTCCCAAAATACCGCTACTTCCATAAGTTTTGAAGTAACACCTGCATTGATAGGTATTGTTCATGATCCAGCATTTGGAACTAGCAAGTTCGCATTTGCCTCTTATGTAACCCTTTTGTTCGCACCTCTTTTGGCACGTGCTCCAAAGCCAACCTGTTGAACCGGAAATCAAATGAGAGCAGCTTGACCATTTATGACAGTCCAAGATAAACGCATCTCCTAATGGAAATACAAAGATCATCACCAGAACGGCAACGATCGAACATATCATCAGCTTGTTCATATTTGGTATCTGGAATAACGAAAATATAATAAAAAAGATGATTTATTGTATTTTATAATCTCACATTCTAGCATTTAGAAAATAAAGATTACATATGGCTACAGAATAAAAGCAAAGACTTAGTTATTCATGTCTTATTCAGACTTATCCAGCTGACTCAAGTAAGATTGTTTTGCTTTGATGATTAAACCAGTCTATAAGTTATTAAAAGTTCTTTTGAAAAAGCAATTACTTCATCATATCAAAATACAAAATATGATATATCAAAGGTACCAAGCTTGGTTAAAATTATGGCCAAGTAGACGACTGAAGAGTAACAGTCATTTTGGAGACAGAACACGCAAGCATTCACTGCCTCCTTCTCATCTCACATTTCAGGATTTTTTTTTCAGAAATATTTAAGATGTCGTGATTGTTTCAGCAATCCTTTTAATTCTTATCTCACTGATAAAGTGATATTGTTTTGATTTCGATTTTTTTTTGTAATTTTAAGTTTTGTTTTTTTTTGGTAACATAAAATGAATAAGCAATATAGTTATTCAAATTATAAAATATAACATATCAAAAGTTTGTTTGATTGGGTTTACGTCACACCGACATATTATATGTCATATGGCGATGTTCCAGCTTTACTGGTGGAGGAAGATCTCAGGTGCCCCTCCGTGCATTATTTCAGGCACGAACGGGCACCTGAGTAGAACCACCGTCGTTTCGTGGCTAGCTGGGTAGCTTCCTCACAAAAAAGAATCCGAAGACCCTGTCAGGATTCGAACCTACAGCGGTGAGAGGCAAGTGGTTTGAAGTCTACGACCATAACCACTCGGTCACGGACATATTAAAAGTAAGGTCTTCTAAACCTCTACCAGACTTTAAAGCTGCACGCCTCCAGATGAGCCAAAATATTTTGAAGAAATTCAGTCTTTAGAAAAATGTATTAAGATCTTGAGAAAATTAAAAAGATTCATTATTTAATTAATTATTTACATGTTGTGTGCGATTAATGACTGATACAGAATCAATCACTATAATTGTGCTGTGTTACTAACGCAAAATCAGGTATTTATGTATATTTTAACCTCTTTTTGGTAATTTACGTGGATTGTAAGTGCTATTTGCAATGTGTAAATTACTTTCTTTGTTCACTTCCCAGTATTTTACTTTTAAATACAATTTCAAAATTTTGTATGAAAATTAGCATAAATCTGGAGGCATGCTGCTTTAAAAGTGCAAACGGCTGGTATTTGACCTATTCTCGATAAATTGTCATCTCTTCAAAACATGTAAAGTTTTATTGAAAAAGAAAATTGTAGGTATGGTGTAGACTGTTCTAATGCATCTATCTAATTGTAAAACATTCAAACTATTTCCTTTTGTATTGAATTGACTTGTGTTTCAACCTATTAAACGCATCATCATTGAAACTTTATTTGACTTGACGTAGTTTTCTGATTTCCTTATAAACAATTCAGTCATATCATCTTTTCAACTGAACTATAATTATTGAAGAAAAAATCTAGATATTGTTTCAAAATGTACTTACATCTCACAAAGATCCAGAATATCCAGTTGGGATATGACAATTTGGTTCAGATGCTTTTTATAGACAATGAATTTGAACTTTGACCTTTTAATTATTATCCAATTACTAAGCATCAATTTTAGATGAAAAATCTCGTAGTCTAATGCTGTGTTTTCAAATATCGAAAGTGTACTTCGGCTTTAAACAGTGCTATTTACTTATATTGTATACAATGTAATTTCAACTCTTATTAGAAAACAAATACACCTGTATGTTTGATGAGAAAGTACATGTACTATATATATATGACAAAACAAATTTGCATTGGTTAACATAAGTCACGTTACATAATTCATAACATTCCTGATGTTTCTCTACACATGATAGAGCAAAAAATATCAGTTGATCACAAAATGCTGTTGCGTGCAAAAATAATTTAAGATTAATTTAGCTTTAAGTTACTTTAAACTCACATGCAATGATAAGTTCACCTTTTATCTTCAGTACTATCTATTCAAAAGTCACAAAAAAAGAAATAAACAAAGATAAAAATATCGGATAACATAAGCTAAACAAACCAACAGAATCAGAAATATGCATTTCGAAACATACAAAATAAATGTATCTTTATAAAGGCCACGCCCATTTGCTTAAAACGTTTTTATTTGCTTTCATTTGCTTATATATTTCAACAACAGAATATAAAGTATAAATATATACTTTCAATGTAGCGTTATAACCTCTTTTTCAGTTATGATATAGACTATGTGGTGTCCTATGTGTGCATTGCGTTAAACTTCATAAAGGTACCTTTTAACAATAAGTAAATTAGGTTTTTTTGTTCTGATTTAGAGGGTCATCCCGCATATAATAGTATATAATAAGTATATGTTTGTTATAATGAGGTAGGAATAACATATTTTACAAGAGCATTTCAACTTCAATAATTCACAATTTTAGCTACGTGAATTCACGAATTCAACTGCACGATTTCACAATATCAAGTTCACGACTTTAAATAGTGAATTCACGAAGCTCTAAATGTGAATTCATGAAGTTGAAAGCTTGAATTTCTGAAGTTGAAAAGATCGTGAATTCACGAAGCTGAAAGCGTGAAATAATGAATTCCGTATTATATATTTTGTTAAAAACTCTACACATATTAGGTTTTAAACAATGGCAGGTTTTTCCTTATAGACGGGAGTACAATAAGTATTAGATATAGGAAAGAAGCCTTTTCAAGCATAGTTTGTAAACTTTTTGCAATTAAAAATATTTAACAATTCGATGAGCAAAGTAAATCTTTATTTTAAAAAAAAACCTATGAGGCTGTAAAAGATAATTGCGTGTGAATAAAAGGTGTTTTAACTTCTGTTTTTGTGACCAACCAAATAGTGGTTAGTTTCAGTTACTCTTATACATTTAAGTATTATTTGTTTTTAGGTTACATCATTTTGTCATCACGCACAAAACATCCTGGTTAGGAAATTTTAGTTACGTGTTTTTGTAAAAAATGTTTTAAATGAATGCGATATAGATCATTCTTCAGGTAATAATTTATCCTTACGAGGAAAGAGGCATATTCAAAAAGGCAATTATTTTGATTAAACAGATTATTTGTCCCATTTATGTGCAAGGATTGCTAAAATTGACTATTTATACTGCTAACTAGAATTTATATTTAGCACCGGTGACCTTGACCAAACTGACCCATAACTTCATCTAAAGGAAAAAGGTTTCTCAATTTTATGTTCCTATTAAATATAAAAGACGTTTGTCGATATAATAAGGTTACACCTTCAAAAGTATAAACAAATCTATTTTAGGTGACGTTGACCTTGAGTTGTATTTTCCTTATCTATACCTGTGTCAGTGGCATCCCATTTTACACATTTACTAATAAATACTAAGAACATGATCTGAAAAGTGATACAACTATGGCTCCCATTATGGCCCTTTTCAGGATTTTGAAAAATGATATGGTTAATCTCAACCGCAAGTTGGATATATCTGAAGTCCAATTTACACTAATGGCTTCAGAATTGTCACACTTACTTATCAATACAAAGTACATCATCTGACAAGTAATATATCTGTGCAATCTACTGTTCCCAGTTATTTCCCTTATAATCACTTTTTTAAGGCTATTAAAGTTGAATTGCCTTAAATTTCTATTATTTTTTTCATTTATTTAACGATATAATCCATAATTGGTAGAAGGATACCTTCAACGGTCCTTAGATTTTTTATGGAGTAAGGGGTCATTTGGATTAAGGCCAAGGTAACTGGTGTTAAAAGCAAATATATATATTTTTGCTCACACAGCCTTTATTTTTAAATTGATATCTTTCG